TAGTCCCGACACGAGGTCGTATTATTCGCAGATGATACATCTTTATTATTTAAAATTAAACGACAATTACAAGTCTATGACGAAGTGAATGATGCGATTTCGTGTGTGGTTCATTGGTTCCGTATCAATAACCTATTATTGAATAGTAAGAAAACGAAATGTATTAAATTTACTTTAAAATGTATTAAATCATCTTTGTGAGACAAGTGGATAGTGATGTAATTGTTTCTGAGGAATCATTGGAGCTTGTTGAGTCAACCGTATTTCTTGGTATAACAGTGGACTCCAAACTGCAGTGGGGACCTCATATTCATAAATTGGCGAGTAAGCTCAGCTCTGCAGCATACGCAGTAAAAAAAATTAGAATGTTAACAAATCGCGGACACGGCTCGTTTAGTTTACTTTAGTTACTTCCACAGTGTCATGTCCTATGGCATTTTGCTATGGGGCAATGCGGCCGATGTAGAAATGATAAATTTCCCGATATTTTTTTCCCGCGTACCGCTTCAACAAAGCGCGGCATCTCTTCAGTCTCAGGTCCATTAGACGAGCATTCAAACGATGTCCTGTTTTTCTTCGATATGCCCGAAGCCCTAAGTCTTCATTTAACACCCTTTTCACCGTGGTTCTGCTTAACCCCATCTGAAGGGCCAACAGTTTCTGCTTACGTTTGGGATTTCTTTGAATTCGCGCCTTCACAGCTTTTATCACTGCTGGAGTCCTAACAGACCGAGGGCGACCACTTCTTGACCTGTCATCTACACTAGAGTCTTCATTGTATCGTTTGATAGTACGATAAACGAATCTTTTGGTTATATTCAAATTTTTCAGTATGTTAAAAATTTTAATTGGCGCGTAACCGCAACGATGCAACGCAATAACTGCAACACGGTCTTCTTTAAGCGTCCACTCCATATTTAAAAATGAGTAAAATACTAAAAGTATACATTTTTATTTTCATGAACAATTCGAAATTCGAATTCAATAAACTTTTTTGTGGCCAGCATTCTAAAAGAAAAGTTTTTACTGTGTGACAATACTTATGACCTGACTAGGTAGTTACAACGGCTGACCCCCTCCTTCAAACCGAAACGCATTACTGCTTCACGGCAGAAATAGGCAGGGTTTTGGTACCTGCCCGCACGGACTCACAAGAGGTCCTACTACCAGTAAATTTATCATTTCCTACCACCGGATCTAAAGATTACTAACTACAAAGCCAAATCTTTACCAAAAGTGGCCTCTCTTGTGTTTGTTATTCTTGCGTAGGCGGGAGAAAATGCTTACAGCCCAATTGCTGTTTAAGACGTGTGATCGAAGTCTCCAGTGCAAAGTATAATCAAGCTGCTTTCAGACTACGCTATACTATAGAGCCATATACTTAGTATAGCAACCTATACTTAGCCAATAATATATAGTACAGTACAGTGTGAACGTGTCCATAATAATGTATGGTGCGGGATATTGTGCTATGAGCTATATGCTATTATATCATAGCTTATTCTGAAAGCGGCTTCATTAAGCCACGCTTTAAACTTTAATGCAGTACATTAAGGTTTTTTGGCAAAAGTAGGCAAAATGCTACCCGTGGGGACTCGCAAGACGACCACTAGTCACAAGCTATGGAATGAGCTCCCCTCCACGGTGTTTCCCGAGCGTTATGACCTGTCCTTCTTCAAACGAGATTTGTGGAGAGTGTTAAGTGGTAGGCAGCGGCTTGGCTCTGCCCCTGGCATTGCTGAAGTCCATGGGCGACGGTAACCACTCACCATCAGGCGGGCCGTATGCTCGTCTGCCTACAATGGCAATAAAAAAAAGTTCCGATATTTCATAAAAGATTTGGCATTCCGTATTTCAGGAACCCAAACTAGGGGCTTTTGTATTATGCGTGTACAGTTATATTATTATCTTATATCGAATGATGAAAGGTTATTTTCTTTAAGCGACATTTTGCCTAATACGCCACATTTATCTTTGGTAATTAAAGATGCATTTTATTTGGTATCAGCATCAACAGTTCGATGTTTTTTTTTTTACACGTCACGTTAACTGGTCCCGTGATAAGTTCATAAAGAACTTGTGTTACAGGTACCAGATAACGGATAAAAATGTAAGATTTTTATTATACACATACATATATTTAATATACATCCATAACCCTGGAAAAGACATTTATATTTATCATACAAATATCTTCCCTTGGCGGGATTCGAACCCGCGACCCCCTTGTGTAGTGACCATGTCACTTACCACTACACCAGACGGCCGTAACTTCAATTAAGTTTCTTTCACTGAAATAGTCGAAGAAGAAGTTGTCTCGTTATGATATTTTTTCCTAATTTTGAAACTTTAAATGGCTCTCCTGTAAATTTGCTCTATACAAATAACCTTTTACCCAAACCCATCAAGGATTAAAGTGACAGCATACTCACTGTAGACCAACACCATCCGGTACAGCGTCACACACGTCTCCGCCTTCATAACCCTCGTAATGATCACCGTGCACTTGTTGTCTTCTACCTGAATTAATACACACAAAAAAAACCATAAAAACTTTCTTTATCGTGAAAATTTCAAAGCTAATTAAAGATTCCAGACATGCTTTAAACTAACAAATACTAGATTTAATCCCTATCTTTGCTGTTTCTTCGCTATGATGTCTCTTTCTTCAATAATCGTAAGGCTTAAGATAAACAGTTAACTGGTTAAGCCCTTACTGCTTCTTGCCTTCATAGACAAATTACATCATCAGGTGCACCACCAGATATCTGTCTTGGACAACTATAGATAATCTCTTTAGGTGTCCTAGACCTGATGAAAAGCATGAGGAGTAGTGTGGTAGTTTTGGCCACGGGTACTGATGGTTACCGTCATCTCTGCCATGAAGAAATTGCCTCGTGTTTCGAATGAAACTGGTATCTTAATTGTGCTTCATTTGGACTGCGGTATTTTTTATATATTCTTATTTATTGCTTAGATGAATGGACGAGCTCACAGCCCACCTGGTGTTAAGTGGTTACTGGAGCCCATAGACATCTACGACGTAAATGCACCACCCACCTTGAGACATCAGTTCTAATTTCTGAGTATAGTTACAACGGCTGTCCCACCCTTCAAACCGAAACGCATTACTGCTTCACGGCAGAAATAGGCAGGGTATTGGTACCTACCCATGCGGACTCACAAGAGGTCCTACCACCAGTAATTACGCAAATTATAATTTTGCGGGTTTGATTTTTATTACACGATTAAGTATTAGGCGTAAATTGGATTTTATCAAAATAGTCTCCCTTAATAACAGTGAATTAAGATATAATATTGAATGGAAACTTACCTGGGCTATAATACCCACTCTCATCCATCTGACTACCCTCGTCCAAGTGCAGATTCCTGATTGCTCCAACCAGCTTCGGAGAATCCAGAACTTCTCTATAATAATCCGCTTTCACTTTTGGAGAGTCCAAACTTCGGCAGTCCGAGTCACACCGTAATTCGTTCCTGGACATTTGGGGAGAGTCCGTGGGTAACGAGTCCATGCTTCTCACATCATTCTTGGATGTTTTGGGAGATCCTAAGCTGGGCGAATCTCTGTAGTCCAAATGCAGCGGCTCGTAAACCGTGATGGGTCGCTCTTTAAGCTGAAGTTTGGACGGTTCGTGGTCGTAATGGATCATCGAGTGTCGATTCTCTGCGTTCCGATTGGTCCGACGGTAGACAACTTGACTTTGGCTGTCCGTCGCGTTCAGACTTGAATTTTCTTGGAAATGCACCTTAAATATTAAGAGTTTGAACTGTATTTTATTACTTCCATTATTTTTACTATGGTCTTTTTTCACGGAAACGTAATGTGATGCAGTATGAACTTTTGTTACTTTGCCAATCTATTGTATCTTCAAATACCTAATTACTATACTATACTAAGAGCACATCTGTAGAAATATAGTGTTAAACAGTTAGTTAGATTGTTTATTATAAAAAAAAAGAACACAATATTCCTAACCTAAAAATATATAGTTACAACACTAGTCCATGAATAAATCTTCTTTAGGCTTGTGGCGGGTAGCCATCATACAACGCAAGATAATTGACAGATGCCTGAATCTCGCTTACGACATTTTCAAGATAAAGCGCATATATACAAGTTCCAAACAACAACGTACCGGACCGTCTGCTTCTTTGTACTATATTCTCCAAAGGCTTAAGGAAGATTTATCCATGGACTACTTAGACTTCTTTATTTCTCCATAAATAAATCTTTAATTAATTAAGATTTAATTTATGTAATCTTTATTTATTTAATTATTAATTCTATATTTATATTTTCTTCCATTTAGTAGACAGCGGCTTGGCTCTGCCCTTGGCATTGTTGAAGTCCATGGGCGACGGCAACAAGACACCATCATGTGAGTCGTATGCTCGTCTGCCTACAAGGGCAAGAAAAAAAACTCTGAATTCCCATTATTTTACAGATGATTGAAAATTTCTCGAATCACCCATCAGTTTCCGTATACAAATTAATAAAAATACTTGAAATATAAAATTACTTTACGATTAGCAATACAAATATAGAAACTGGTTTGAAACAGTCTTGCCATATTAGGACATCAAAGCTAAGCTAATAACATTGTCATTAGAATTTGATTATTCACAACAGTTAGAATATTACAGTTACAATTATTTACCGGTGGTAGGACCTTTGTGAGTCCGCACTGGTAAGTACATTTCTGCCGTGAAGCAGTAATGCGTTTCGGTTTGAAGGGTGGGGCAGCCGTAGTAACTAACTATACTTGAGACCTTAGAACTTACATCTCAAGGTGGGTGGCGCATTTACGTTGTAGATAAAAATAAAAAACTCATAGGTACCTTTTCGGCAACGGAGGCTGATGACCGCGGTGAGTGCTTCGGACTGACTGCGCTATCCAGCCTCAATTTATTATAGCCTGGAGAACTACAAGAGTCTTTGGACGTCAATCGACTGGGAGCGTATCTTTTCGTTGGCGACTTTTTAAGGCTGCTCCTTACTTTGTTGGTATAACTACCGCTGACGCTAGATGGAGCCAGCGTACTGCCGCTAGCATTGGACGCCATGGACTTGAGGCTGTACGAGGAAGTAGCTCCGATCGATGACGTCATTCCTAGGGAGTTGGTCATTCCGCTAGTTGCGCTTCTACTAGACGGAGTGATGCTCGTTGTATCTTCTTTATCGATTGTTTGGTCCGTCAGTATTTGTTCTTCTGTCGGTGCCTGGTTTAGAATCCTCTGGAACGTTGTCGAAATAAGATCCCTTTAAGTTAACCTTCCTAAATTTAGTGAGTAGCGTCCAAATATTGGACTGTCGGCGTACAAATAGTGGACTGCCAACAGACCGCCATACTTTTTCGGTAATTTAGATTTTACTATTTCTAACACATTTAAAACTGTACTAGATGATGACCGAGCTTTACTCGTTTTTTTTTTTGATAACGCCATCTTGTTGTGTCTTTAAAGCGCTTAGTTGCCCTCAATTAAGAAAAATAGTATTATTATTCGCCAATAGATGTCTGGAAGAGTTGATTATTAAAAACACGAATAAAACAACATTTTCTGAAAATAAATCGTAGCTTGATCGATTTATCGCCCCCGTAATCCCCTGTATACTAAATTTTATGAAAATCGTTGGAGCCGTTTCCGAGATTCAGATTATATATATGTTAACGGAAATGTATGTAATCCGTCATTGTATACAATTCCTAGGAAATGTATGTAATTCCTAAAATCGCACGGAAATGTGTGAAATAAATTATATTATACTTACACATTACACATTTCCTAGGAAATCTATACATTTCCTAAATAGCAATCGGAAATGTAAAACATTTAAGATATTGGTGGGTACGCGGGGACAGCGGGACGAGTCTTGCACTACGGTCAGTTGCCAACTTGCAATCCACTGGAACCGGCCAGGGATTTAAGAAGTGCCTTTGCAAGAAAAACTGTGCTACATCAAGATGTCTGTGTTTTAAAAATTAAGTATTATGTACTTCCAAATGCCATTCGAGCTTACCCTGCAAAAATAAATAGCTATATGGACTGACAAAGTATTTTAATATAAAGATTTGCTTTTATACTTTGACATTTATAATTATTTAATTATCAGACTGATTACTAGCCAAATGAAAATTTGATTTTATAAGAATAAATATAAGTTGATTTTGTGATACGTTAAAAGTTAATAGATAGTTGATTTTAGAAGTTTTAATTAGTAAGATAATATGAATATATTATTATTATTTTACGGTATGACTGTTACCCGATTGTCTCAATAAGTGTTATATTAAAAAAATATTATTATCAACGTGTTTTATATACAGAAAGCATTTACTTTATACATTTCCTANCATTCACTTCGTCATAGACTTGTAATTGTCGTTTAATTTTAAATAATAAAGATGTATCATCTGCGAATAATACGACCTCGTGTCGGGACTCAATAAAACTAGGCAAATCGTTTATATATATTAGAAATAAAAAAGGACCCAAAATGGAACCCTGAGGTACACCCATTTTCAACGTGGTGCCTGAAGATCTATTTCCTTTCACATCTACTGTTTGTATCCTTCCTGATAAATAGGAAGTAATAAGTTCCAATGCACCATCCCTAATACCATAGTGATGTAGTTTCCTCACCAATGTTTCATGTTCAACACAGTCAAATGCTTTGGATAAGTCACAGAAAATTCCAAGACAATCATGCGATTCCTCCCAAGATTGAAATATATTTTTGATTAGATAAGCACCTGCATCAGTTGTAGAGCGACCCCTTGTAAACCCGAATTGTTTATTATGAAGCAGGTTATTTGAATTAAAATGTTCTAAAAGTTGTGTCAAAATAATTTTTTCAAAGATTTTACTCAACGTAGGGAGTACTGAAATAGGTCTTCCAGCCTTAATAACGGAAAAACGCGGCAAAAATAGGCAGAATGGTGATATTCATTAGTATAAAGAAACTACCAAATATCTCCACACATCCCCAAAGACTCAACTGGAAAGGATAAAGGCTTTTCCACCTTTAAAAACGGAATCTCGCAGCAAAAATAGGCAGAATGGTGGTACCTACCCGCGTGAGCTTACAAAACATCTAGCACTAGTAAACGCTATTTGGCGATGATAGTATAATGTTATTCTCAGATAACCCTGCTAACCAGGTAAACCTGATCACCTGGTAACCCAGATAATTCTCAGATACTGGTGGTAGGACCTCTTGTTAGTCCGCACGGGTACCACCACCCCGCCTATTTCTGTCGTGAAGCAGTAATGCGTTTCGGTTTGAAAGGTGGGGTAGCCGTTGTAACTATACTGAGACCTTAGAATTTATATCTCAAGGTAGATGGCGTATTTACGTCGTAGATGTCTATGGGCTCCAGTATCCACTTAACACCAGGTGGGCTGTGAGCTCGTCTACCCATCTAAGCAATAAAAAAAACCCCTACTGCATATTTTCCGGTCAATATTTTACGATACCCACGCGAAGAGTTGGACGGAAGAGAGCGGTGCTTTTCTAAACCGACAACAAAGAAACTCTAACCATTTCGAAGTTAATACTAACTCCCTTCTAACCGCAGTAACGAATAAATTAACCCACAGACACAGCCCACTGAGTTTCTCGCGGGATCTTCTCAGTGGGTCGCGTTTCCGATCCGGTGGTAGATTCTGCGATACACGGCTCTTGCTAAGGTTAGTGTTAGCAACGTCGTCAGGTTTGAGCCCGTGAGCTTCACCTATTAGTTCGGTAAATCTAGAATAACCCCACGAGGTTACTAGAATAGGATCAAAAAAAAAGCAAACGATTCATTTTAAAATCTAGTAAAGAATAAATACGCAGCTATATATGATTTAATTAGTGAGGGAATTTTTATCCAACATAACTGACCCCGGACGTGGCTTCGTTTGGGTGGGTCGGTCATTTACATCGTCATGTCTAAGATTCTAAGCTAACTAGGAGGTCCGTCACTACGTTTTTTTTTTTATTGCCCTTGTAGGCGGACGAGCATACGGCCCACCTGATGGTGAGAGGTTACCATCGGCCATGGACTTCAGCAATGCCAGGGGCAGAGCCAAGCTGCTGCCTACAAACGTTCACACATCTAGTAAAATTATAAAAGCAGAAATAACGCACACATATAAATATTTGTATCATTATGTAGTTTATTTTATCTACCACCCACGTATTAGTAGATAACCGACTATATATGGAAACAGTTTGTGATGATAGCTAATTTTAATACCGTGATTTCCACCAATGTTTATGTGGGGATATAGCTCAGTGGTAGAGCAATCGACTGCAGATCGATAGGCCCCCGGTTCAAACCCGGGTGTCCCCTGTTTCGATTTAATCGGAAATATCCTTTTTCGCAAATTTATGAATAATTTTTCAAATAATTACATTTTTTTTGTATTTAATATTGACATTATTGGATGGAAATAATTTAGTTTGCTTCATATGCGTACCTGTTCTTATCAGTGGATATGCCGTGGGTCAGTATGAGTTGTTCCAGCATCTGTAGACGGGAGAGGGCCAGTCGTGGATGCATAGAGGCCGCCACTGGACGGACTAACTGCTGAGGTATGATGTGGAGGGCTCTGAAAGCCTTTGTTTGTTAGTCTTGTCTTGTGCGTTTTCTTTTATTGCTTAGATGGGTGGACGAGCTTACAGCCCACCTGGTGTTAAGCGGTTACCGGAGCTCATAGACATCTACAAAATAAATGCCGCCACCTACCTTGGACTGGTGATAGGACCTTTGGACTGGTAGTAGGACCTTGCACTGGTGGTAGGACCTCCTGTGAGTCCGCGCGGGTGGGTACCACCACCCTGCCTATTTCTGCTGTGAAGCAGTAATGCGTTTCGGTTTGAAGGGTGGGGCAGCCGTTGTAACTATACTTGAGACCTTAGAACTTATATCTCAAGGTGGATGACGCATTTACGTTGTAGATGTCTATGGGTTCCAGTAACACCAGGTGAGCTGTGAACTCGTGCACCCATTTAAGCAATAAAAAAATATTACGCATATTCCTTTTTTTGTACACTACTGTTATAATAAAAATATGTTTCATTTGAGTAATTTGATAAGTCCCTTACGCATAACATAAAGAACTACAAAAATCCATTTACATTTAAGGAAAGAGTTAAGATTCCGTGCACATTAAAACTAAAAAAAACGGTAGACAGCGGCTTGGCTCTGCCCCTGGCATTTCTGACCTCCATGAACCACGGTAACCACTTACAATCAGGTAGAGCCGTATGCTCGTCTGCCTATACGGCAAAACAAAAAACAATTAATAAGGTACTTTTTTTTTCAAATAAACCTGTAGCAATTTCTACAAAATATGTGAAAAAATGAGTTGGGCACTAAAAGAGTTGAAAATACCGAATACCTGACTTGCGGGCAGTCCGCCACGGTGAGGACGGTGTGCTGCGCGGTGGAGTGCACCCTGGGTGCCGGGTCCCCGCACGCTCGCAGCAGCTCCGGCAACAGCTTCTCCAGACACCGCCCCACCTCCGCCGAACACACCCTGGGACGGCACGACAAAACGATTCCTTGTAATATATTTGTATTGTAATATAAATATTATTTTTTTTCGTGAATTCAAATACATTAAGTCCGCCGTTGTACCTTTGTGCATGAAGTAGAACAAATAAATATTTATTTCTTTGTTTGTTTGTTTTTGTAATTATATTTGTTTGTTTTATTGGTTTGTTTGTTTTTCGTAATTGAATATGCAATTTCGAAAAGGGCACATGTCGCATATTTTGTCAAATACGTTTTTTCATATACATGTAATTTCGAGGCTTACTGACACCCATTTTATAATAATTCCAGTAATTTTCAATTGCTAATTAACACTAAAACATATCTCAAAAGTTAATATTTTAAATTTTACACTGCTTTAGAAAATAATCAGTTTTTTTTTCATTTCCTGAACATTTTACATTTTCAGAGATGTGCCCTTTTCGAAATTGCATATTCCATTATATTTGTGTTTTTGTTTGTTTGTTTGTTTGTTCATTTATTTATTCATTCAAATTCATGCACAAACACAGCATAAACTGTAAAAAAATAACTGCATATTTTTATTTATGAGATGCCATACCTGTCCGGTACGAAATCCTTGAACAGAACTCTGACAACTTCATTGGCCTGACTGTACACAGAAAAGACTTTATCTCTCAAAGCTCTCTGCAGCAAGATGGCGGCCGCCCTCGCGGTTTTGTTCGGAGAAGTCTTGGAGCTTCCGTTCGACGGCGAAGTTAGTTCTGCTCTGAGACGATTCAGACCCTCCTCCTTGTCCAAGTAGTTCTTGGAGAAGAACTTCTCTACCTTGAATGTAGTAGTGAAATTTGAGCTTTTGTTCAATTTCAAAAGACTAGTACAGATATTGTATAATCATGTCTTGAGTAACATTTAGTAAATACAATATAGTTATGTTTAATTTACAGTATAGACAAGGATACAGTCTATCTGATGGTAATTGGTCACCGTCGATGGACATCAGTAATGCCAGAGTCATGGCCAAGCCACTACCCACTGCTACTATAGGGGTAATATGTTGATATTTTATGGATACTAAATGAGCAATATATACTGATTTAGCAAATTAAGTTTAACCTTAATCTTAACATAAATGTATTGTACCTTTTTTAAACAAATAGTCTACTCATATAAAATTCCCAATTTTCGGTTTGATCAATAATTACCAACAAAGTTGCCTCAATAAGCTCTTATTAGAACTATAATCTAACCCATTTAAGGCTCTATAAGCCGTCTACCTAACTACAGGAAAAATAGGACTTAGAATATATAGGAACATTGATTTTCTTAAATATCAAGATGAATTAGGTATACTGTGTACAGCTGTGGAATTACCAGAGGGTATCCGAAAATAAGTATAGGTAGAGCTGCTTGCTTCCTCTCCCTCTCGTTGAGCTTGTGAGAGACACGCGACGGTAGAGGCGCGCTACTCCCACTGCCCTCCTCCTCGCGAGCCTCCCGGAGGTACTCGTTGGTATGAGAACTGGAGGTTGCCACAATAGAATATCTCATCACCGTCATCCATGTGTAACCTCTTTTTTGCAAATTAAATCGACGTTTTAACATGAGAATTCTTAGCTTCTTAGTTAAACTTCAAGCATCGGACAGACAAACGGGTCGATATTTAAATTTTTTAATACATTTTTTTTGGCATAAGCTTGAAACGGAAGTTCCTTTCCGAGCGCGTGATACTGCTCGGTGGACCGACGCTCCAAATGTTGTTGTTCGGAACTTGTATATACGCAAGCTTATCTTGAAAATGTCGTAAGCGTGATTCAGGCATATGTCAAATATGTTGTATGATAGCTACCGCCACGATTTGTGTCGGGTCCCTAATAATCTGATTCACATTAATCCTTTATTTTATTTTTTTATTTACGGATACCCGGTCCGGGGGGGTAACGAACCGCGTTATGTCGGACTCCGGCGCCTCCTGAGAGGAAGAGGGGGACGAGAAGGTCCTCCATCTCCCCGAATTCCTCGCAAGAGACTACGCCTTGAAAAAGGCGCGCGAAGCACTTGCCCCGCAGAACGACTACCGACTAAACCCCATCGAGCTCCACCACACCGGCTACACCAGACCTACGGTACCGCAGTGCGCGCCGAAAGTCCTCCTTCGCCGGTACCCGTCCTGATGATAAGACGGGATTTCATCTCCGGGAAAATCCCGAAGGACATCATTTCGGGAGATACACCGTGGGCGGCGCACACCTTGCACCGCCCCACCACCGGACCGACAGTCGAGTAACGGGCGCCCCCGCACCCGCCACCTGATAGTCCCTACGGAGGCTGAGCGGGAGCTTCACGCCCGCGCCGGCCATCCCGCCTTCTGCGCTGAGGTGCTGAAGAGGGATCCCACTCCCTTTCACGCTCCTCAGCCTCACGGGACGCCATTACCAGGTCACAAAACCTGGCCATGGCCTCCCACGAGCCTTGATCCTCTAACATGCGGGCGACGATTAATTAATTAATTAATTCACATTAATCCTCATGAAATTTACGAGCGAAGATCGAGATTCCATCGCACTCACAAAGGATGTACGATGTAATCACATAAGCGATCCCGTCTTACATTTTAAAACGGGCATGACTGAAAGAGCAGACGTCTTCCTTAAGAATATTCTTGAAATCAGATATATTTTTTTTATTATTAAATAAAGGTAAACTCATGTGCTATAACAAAACCCTTTTTCAAATAAGGTTTGAAAATATTCCTAGAAGGTAAGCAACAGCTTGTAATTGCTCCGATTACTAGGACGATGTCCATGGGTGATCTAAAATTTACAAAATTGGTTGACGTCAGTCAATCGTGTTTGATATTTGAGCACGAAACTCCTGCACGTAGCTCCTGCGACTCTATCCCGGAATAAATCTTAAAACCTAATTTATACCTATATTTATTTATAATATAATTTATTTATTTATCAATTATCAATACAAAGTCAGGCTTACAGTTTGCACTAAAACGTCTAACTCGTTAATATAAAAAACATTATTAAAATTATTGAGTATTATTGTTATGCTAATGCTATGCTATATGTAGTCGGATAAGAGCATTAAGACGAACTTACTGCCTTAGGGCCGGCAGCAGACGTTCTTCGTAAGCATCGAAGGTAGATCTGGGACCGGCACTCTTGTTTCTCCTCCTTACCAAGGTACCTGCGAAGGATAGCTTATTCAGGACCTTTCGAAAACAACTTGGTCGCTATCGGATCAGATCAGATTTTACTGGTGGTACCTCTTGTGAGTCCGCACGGGTAGGTCCCACCGCGCCTATTTCTACCGTGAAGCAGCAATGCGTTTCGGTTTGAAGGGTGGGGCACCCGTTGTAACTATACTGAGACCTTAGAACTTATATCTCAAGATGGGTTCAATGGTGGAGTCCAGTAACCACTTAACACCAGGTGGGCTGTGAACTCGTCCACCCATCTAAGCAATAAAAAAATTAAGTCCCATAAGTTTCAGTTCTTGCACCCATTGAACAAAGACATTACTCCTTCGCGTCAAGAACAAGAGAATTGAGATAATTAATTACACGCACGCACTCACAATACGCCCGACCTATAATAATATACTTTTAATCTTCGTATTTATTTACCGTTAGCTGCATTCGGGGTGACGCTCCTGCGTGGACTGTCAGTCGTTCTCGTCTCATCTTCCTCAATCTTCTGTTCGATTTTTTTCTGTTCTAATTTCTCTTCTTGTGCATTTTGGACGGCTTGTAAGTGCGGTATGGAGGAGTGCTGTGTGCTTGGTACTTCTACGTCTTCTAGAAGATATACTGGGGACTGCAAATTAGATAAGCTTAGAGATTCCCAACAGATGATCCTTTTTTTATTGCTTAGATGGGTAGACGAGCTCACAGCTCACCTGGTGTTAAGTGGATATCAAAGCCCATAGACATCTACAACGTAAATGCGTCACCCACCTTGAGATATAAGTTCTAAGGTCTCAGTATAATTACAACGGCTGCCCCACCCTTCAAACCGAAACGCATTACTGCTTCACGACAGAAATAGACGGGGTGGTGGTACCTACCCGCGCGGACTCACGAGAGGTCCTACCACCAGTAAATCCTAACGATACTGTTCTTTTAAATTAATAAGCACAAATAACATTTTAATAGTCGTACCTGTCTATTTCTGCCGTGGAAAAGTAATGCGTTTCGGTTTGAAGGGTAGGATAGCCGTTGTACTGTAAAAACTGTGACGGAAAACCATGTCTTAAGGTGAGTGGCGGCTTTTACGGCCTGGCCACGGGGATCGGCGGTGCGAACAGCGAAGCGGTGGGCGAGGCGACCATTCGCGCAGCACCGTTTGCAGGCCACGGGTACTCACGTTCGCCGCCGCGACTAGTAAGGAAGTCCGACAGCGAAATGTCTATATCGAAATTATCTCGATATTGCTTACAAATTAATAGTTTTTTGGTTCAGGACCTATTATTTGGAAAAGATTGTGAAGTACATGATTTGAATAAGAATCGGAGTATACCTATAGATGGAGAATTCCACAAGAAGTACGAGAAATACTTTGGGTGGCTAGACTTCCAAATAGCTGGTCTAGCTAGTATTTCAGCTATTTTATTTTTTTATTGCTTAGATGGGTGGACGAGCTCACAGCCCACCTTGTGTTAAGTGGTTACTGGAGCCCATAGACATCCACAACGTAAATGCGCCACCCACCTTGAGATATAAGTTCTAAGGTCTCAAGTATAGTTATAATGGCTGCCTCACCCTTCAAACCGAAACGCATTACTACTTCACGGCAGAAATAGGCAGGGTGGTAGTACCCACCCGTGTAGACTCACAAGAGGTCCTACCACCAGTAATTACGCAAATTATTATTTTGAAGATTTCATTTTTATCACACGATGTTATTCCTTCACCGTGGAAATCAATCGTGAACGTTGAGTGTTGTTGAGTACGTATTTCATTACAAAAATTGGTACCCGCCTGATATTCGAACACCGGTGCATCGCTCAACACGATTGCACCGGACGTCCGTTAGGCCACGACGACTTTAAAAATATAAAATAAAAAATAAATAAAAAATATAAAAATTTCGGCGTTAATTTTTCGCGGCGAAAACAACTAAACTCATTTAATCACTGTACTATTCGCCGCGACTACCGCTCGACTCCGTGGCTCGCGCCGTCCGTATTCATGCATTTGTTTTGCTCGCCCGCCGCATCGCGCGATTCGCTCGGTACATTTCGCCGGTCGCTTCGCCGGTCGCCGGTGCGCGTGGCTTGTTAGGTACATTTCTACGCGCTTGTTTTAGTCGCTAGACGCTTCGCTGTTCGCACCGCGCGAATATTCGCATCGGCGAATGTCCCGTGGCCAGGCTGTTACGTTGTAGATGTCTATGGGCTCCGGGAACCACTTAGCACACATTAGCATCTAAGTCACAAAAATGCGACTATGATCTGACTGGTATGAACTTCATACAAGTCTGCATCCCAATTTTCCATATGTACTTCCTAATGTTCAAAAATGGTGGTTGGCCATATTGCAAACCCACACGTAGGGTAGATACCACGTTCCCGCCAATCTGGGCTTTGTAGCAACTATGCATCCCAGTTTTAAAGCAGGCAAACCATACCAATGTCGTTCAAATATCATTTGAATGAGCTATATCAGTCAATGCCGATGCTCATAGATCTCCGTAACACTGGTTGTTCAATTAGGCTCTTGTCAATCAATGACAGTTCTTTTTAATAAGCTTTTATTAACTTCAGACGTATGTATGTTTATAACGGAATCTTTGAACATGATTTTGACCCCCTTCAAAACGTTGGATTAACTCGAAATTTGGTATACTTATTAAGGACCGATGACTACTCAATATTTAAAAAAATATAGAAATTCAACTAAAAAATGAAAAATAAATAATAGTTTAAAAAAACCAACAAAATACGCTTTTATAGAAAATCCAACTAAAAAATAGAAAATGTGTAAGAAGCGTGGGGTGCATGGTATCAGTAGTTATAAATATTTTATGAACAGATATGAGTAGAAGGGTTATATTGACAATATCCTGAAAAGCACCCCACGCTTTTTTACAATAAAATCATTTTTTCTTACACTATTTTTAAATCAAATTTATTAAAATTTATTTTAAATTTTTTAGTTGGATTTTCTATAAAAGCGTATTTTGTTAGTTTTTTTAAACTATTATTTATTTTTAAAGCTAACTCGGAGAAGACCTTCGTCAGAATTACCTTTTGAGCTTGTTCTATCTGATCTTCGTCGTTGCCATTGATAAAATCAATCTCATCGGTTTCTTGATGTATCGGAGGAACCGGAGACGGTATATCCAAGCTTAGAGAGCCTGCAGCCACGGATGGGGAGAGGTGGTGCGAGAAATCGTACTCCTGAGGCATCGACGAGTCATTGCGGGGATCTACCTGGAATAGTGTATCTTAAGATGTTTTAGTGGTCACAGACTCTTTGACATTCCACTTGGATGTTTTATTGTTAGTATCAATGAAAAACGAATATCCAATATGATAAGCTATCGTATGATTTTGTTGTTCTAGTTGAGCAAACAAGCTCATAACCAATTTGGTGTGAAGTGCCCAACATATTTTATTAGTATCATAACATGGATGGATAATTAATTATTATATTAAGTTAATTTAGGTACCACCGCCCTGCATATTTTTGCTACTGAAGCAGTAATGCGTTTCGGTTTGAAAGGTGTGGCAGCCGTTGTAACTATACCTTAAAACTTATATCTCATAGTGGGTGGCGCATTTACGTTGTAGATGTCTATGGACTCCAGTAATCACTTAACACCAGGTGGGCTGTGAGCTCGTCTACCCATCTAAGCAATAAAAAAAAATTTATTAAACTGATTATCAATCAAAAGTCAAATTCAGTGAATTATTACCCCATCCTCTTCAAACAATCTGCAGAGCTGCGGATCTTCTTTCACTCCAGTTAGAGCATCAGCGATCCTGTCTCTCATCCGTCGAGCCAGCTCAAAGTCATCTCTGACGGCTGCGGTCCTCTTGCGCAGTCTCCAGCGACCGATTCGTATGCCGGCGGCTGCTAGGGCTGCCCCGGCGGACTTCAGCCGACGGGCGTATTCAAAACGTTCTTCTAAAATATACGTGTGTCAGATGTTATAAATTAGCCAGTAGTTACAATACAGCCGGTCGTTAGGAGAGAACAAGTTCTGATATAACTGGAAAGATATGTTCTGTGTATATCTTTTTCTGTTTGCTTCAAAACTACACCGAAATTCCTTCCCTACATCGATATTCATTGATAAAGAAAAATGTACAATGCGCCGTGAACTTTTTACACCATCTAAGACACACGCAGCTAATATCGATCACCATATTACATCTATACTAATACATAAATCTACAATGGTTTTTACGGATGTTCCGTTATAACTACTGCATCCGATTGACTTGAAACTTGGTATCCATGTAAAAAATGCATGTACTTAATGGATAGGCTAATATTTATATGAGTGTTGGATTCCCTAAATATGACAATAAATAATAATGTTAATTTTAAAGGCGCAGCGAAGCGGGCGATTACGGCTAGTTTATTTATATTTTTATTTCCCAATCTTACTTAATTAGCAGAAAATCTCTGCAATCACTAATTAACGAACTCAGATTTACCAAATCGTTTATGAATTCAAACTTACCTGTAACAGCCGTTTTCTTCTTCTCATCCAAACTCCTGATGAGATCGGCTATTTCATTGTCCACGTACATAACAAAGGCCAGATCATCGTACGGTGAGTATAGAGTCTCGGTTTTGATTACCGTCTGAGCTTTCTCTGGGCACTCTACGATTTCGCCCAGAACATTCACAGCCATTAGCGCTATCTGCGTGTCAGAAATGTGAAAATATGAGCTTACAATCGTGGGTAGCACGTAAAAAAATTGGACACTTTTATGGATCTTTTTTTTATTGCTTATATGGGTGAGCAAGCTCACAACCCGCCTGGTGTTAAATGGTTACAGAGCCCATAGACATCTACAACTTGAGATATGAGTTCTAAGGTCTCAGTATAGTTACAATGGCTGCCCCGCCCTTCAAATCGAAACGCATTACAGCTTCACGGCAGAAATAGACAGCGTGGTGGTACCTACCCGTGCGGACTTACAGCAGGTCCTACCACTAGTAATTGTGTAAAATATAATTTTGCGGGTTTGATTTTTATTACACGATATTATTCCTCCACCGTGGAAGACAATCGTGAACATTTGTTAAGTACGTGTTTCATTAGAAAAATTGGTACCCGCCTGCGGGATTCGAACACCGGTGCATTGCCAGAAATCTTATCCTTTAGGCCACGATGACTACAAAACAATACAACGGCTTTCCCACTCTTCAACCGTAAACTCATGACTGCACTATGACATAAATGCAATGAAACAGATGCTACAAATCTCGTGAATATTATTTAAAAGTAATTTTCAACCGTTTCTAATTTGTTATACCATGAAACATAAAGAATAGAATTTTGCTCTACGGTGTTTAAAATTGTACTGATTGCATTCTGTACTAGCATGGCGAACTGATGATTAACCTGGAAGATGTCAATCCAGTTCATTCTCATTACGATTGTCTTAAGAGCTCATCATATCATTATCATGTTCTTCTCCCAGTCACCTGGGGTCGGCGCAACATGTTTTCTCCTTCAATACTCTTCTATCATATACCATTTCTTCGCTCACTCCCCTATTAAACATATCGTCTTTCACGCAATCCATCCAATTCTTCTTAGGTCTACCTCTTCCTCTATACCCTTCCACATTCATAGTTAACATTCTGTTACCAACCTCATTTTCATTTCGTCTCATCACATGTCCATACCATCCCAAACGCGCACTTCTCAACTTCTCTGTCACAGGTGTCACTTTCAGACTTTAACTATTGATGTTTATTTCATTATTGTGCTTACGTAAAATAACTAATGCTACGATCCACGACTAAGTCAACAGAGCGGTGATAAATATTATTATTATTTTTAAGGATCTCGATACCTGATCAGTCTCTTTAGCTGGGGGATGAGGTCCAGACAATTTAAGCTTCACGAATCTTGCTATCGTTGGCTCTGGAAGGGCCGCAGACCTGAAAACAAGACAAAAAATATTGTTTCATCAGATTTTTAAGCTTCTTTTAACTCATCGTAACATTACGATATAGTGTGAATGTCACCTCGAGACATAACTAATCGAAATCTCAAATGTATTACAGACGTAATATTACTCGTAACAGATAGCCATGTCATAAATATGAAGATGGTATAATGTTAAAGACCAAAACGATGACATTTAAGCTACTTATGTAGAGTTTATTTCGATAAAACCAGACAGAATTAGTACCAAAATAACTATTCACAACTCATTATTGAGAGCTCCACTGGCTTGGAAAACAAGAAAGCTGTGTGTCTTGTGTATTTATTAGTTGTGTGGTAGGTAATGGACACGAATGCGTCTCTTTACGAAGACAATTATTTTTTCACAATGGTCAAGTAGCGATTAATATGTACCAAAATGTATAAGCATCTCTGACGTAAAACGCTTTGAACTCGCGTTTTTATTGTCATTAAGGACGTAATCAGTCACCCCATAGACACAGCCCTCTGAGACTCTCTCCGGATCTTCTCAGTGGTACGCGATCTTGATGCGGTTGTAGATTCGGTGAAAGGGCTAGTGTTAGCAAATTCTCTCAGGTTGAGCACGTGAGCTCACCTACCCGTCCGGACGTAGATGGAATAGCCTCTTAGACTACCAACCGATAGGTAGGGGAAGTTCTCAATTCGATAATGAGCACCTGAGTTCTCTGGTCCTGGCCTGAGGTGCCGGTTTCGCGAGGGTCACCTTCCCGACGCTCGTGTAAGTCGCCCCGCATGGTGTTGCAGCTCCTTCGGAGACCAACCCTCCTGATACTAGCACTTCCACGCAAGCCGCTGTGAAGGTAGGGTTTTTACGCTGTGAACTATCTTCGCTATAGGCATCTGATCATAATGTTTATAAATCGATAGGTTAAAAATAGTATCTTCTGCAAAATAACACCAGATTATAGCAGTAAATTAAATATACCGTTATTCTCAAATACTTTAAAAGTATCTATAGACTTAATTAAAACTAATTTTATGGTTCAAATCTCACGTCTTCATTAATTTTTGTTCCTGCCAATTATTCGAAATTCTTTTAATTATATCTATGATTCGCGAAAACCAAACACAATATTGTAGTTTATACATTCACTTAGAAACAAGCAAGACAATATCTAGATATTCCAAGAGTGGTCACAATTACCCTGGGTAGTTTCTTAACAGTTTGTTTGTGACATTTCCGTATAATTCGAACTTCGTCGCGCATTCTCATATTTGTCTATCCAGCTCTTCGTCGTAGGCGATGAGTTCGACGAGAACGATGACTCGTGCTTATAGTACCTAAAAGCACCGTTTGTGGATCGGGAGGATCCGAGATGATGTGTTTTGGGCGACGTCGACTGTTTACCATTTGGTCCGTAACGTAGTACATACGTGGCGCTTCGATAGACAATTAGCTGGTTGAAATATCATAAATACGCGTTTCCGATAATTAATCTCTACGACTTACGTATGAGCTGATGGTGTGCCAACAACTGTAGCTTGTGCACGTTTGTGACACTGGTGAGCCGCAATAGAAGTTCGTGGGGCGGAGGGCCATCGCTGCGCCAGCCCCGAGCCGCAGGACCTTGGGCATTCAGCTCACAGGCCGGGTAACAACTGTCTTCACCTGTTTAATTCCAGTAAATTACTTTATAATACTGTTACGCGCTGGGGTTCGGGATAAATAAATATTCTACCGAAGTGCAAATTAAAACAATATTTAACACCTAAAACATTTACTTTTAGAAATCGTCGAGGCCTAAACGATAAGACGTCCGGTGCATTCGTGTTGAGCGATGCAGCGGTGCTCGAATCTCAGGCGGGTACCAATTTTTCTAATGAAATACGTACTCAACAAATGTTCACGATTGCCTTCCACGGTGAAGGAATAACATCGTGTAATAAAAATCAAACCCGCAAAATTATAATTTGCGTAATTACTGGTGGTAGGGCCTCTTGTGAGTCCGCGCGGATAGGTACCACCGTCCTGCCTGTTTTTGCCGTGAAGCAGTAATAAGTTTCGGTTTGAAGGGTGGGCCAGCCGTTGTAACTATACTGAGGCCTTAGTACTTATATCTCAAGGTGGGTGGTGCATTTACGTTGTAGATATCCATGGGCTCCAGTAACCACTTAACACCAGGTGGGCTGTGAGCTCGTCCACCCATCTAAGCAATAAAAAAAACGAACACTTTAAAATTCTCATTTCACTTCTTGCGTTTCGCTTCAGGTGATCCGTTTACTGACTGACTTCGTGCCATCTCTGCAACGACATCCCTAGATTTATCGAGAGCATTCTAAGCAAGTCGAGTAGCTTCGACGTGTGTTTCCGCTATCTGACAATAGATTGCGCTGTACTTCTCGAACGTTCTCGATGTTACTAGTTCCTTTGATATTCGTTCCTGCTATTCGGCAATAGATGGCGTTACTCTTACCGGCGTAGTAATACTCATTTTTAGTACATTTATAGATGTCTCTTGTGAAAACCAGCGTAGTCAGACACCTACAACTATCTTCTATCTTCTATCTAGATATAAATTCACAATTAATTTAAAAATAGTTTTCCCGTATGCTTCAGATTTTTAATATAGCTCAGCATCGAATGGTTAAAAATGGGAGTCTATTCACGTAAAACATTCCGTGAAGTATTGGAAACATTCGTAATTACACCGTAATTGGATTAATATCGGTCTAATACTGTACATGCTAATGATGCCTTAAAGACCACTACATTATATATTATTATAAGCCAAAGCTAGCTAAGACCCTCCTTAGATACAATATAATCAATTGGGAATATTCTTTCTTATCACTACTCGAATTTTGATCCGTTAATTTTGTTTTGTAAGTTTTATGGCATCAATTTAAGGACTCTATGCATTATCATATATTTCATAACCGAACAGAGTGAATTTATTATTCTTTGAAACCGAATTAACTTAATTTTTGGTATAGTGAAAACTTTTTCGGCGGCTTTGTGATTTGAAATTCGATTTCTTTTTCTGCCTATGCTGATAGCCTTGAGAGGCTATTTCAGCTTCTCCTTGACGTGTAGGTGAGCTCACGGGGTTCAAACCGGGAGTGTTGCTAACACTGGCCCTAGCAAGAACAGTGCTTCGCAGAATCTACCACCGGATCGGAAACGCGACCCACTGAGAAGATCCGTCGAGAAACTCAGTGGGCTAGTTCTAATATTTGTACCTCATATTTGAGTCGACTATTATCAAAGGCGGCAATCTGACTTTTGGACAATGATTGGTAAATCAGAAAAACGAATTATTGACTTCGTATTCCATTGGCAGTCACAAAACTCTTCGGAACGACATCTTAGATAAATAACAGGTTAACTATTAACCTTTATTTAATGCAGGTTTTGAACCGTATTCTTTGAAGGAGACGATTATATTCAAATAAATCTGTATTGACATATCAATAAAAATGTTTTGTCCAAATGCACAGATTGCCACCTTTGATAATAGACGACTCATTTGTCATNATTGGCAGTCACAAAACTCTTCGGAACGACATCTTAGATAAATAACAGGTTAACTATTAACCTTTATTTAATGCAGGTTTTGAACCGTATTCTTTGAAGGAGACGATTATATTCAAATAAATCTGTATTGACATATCAATAAAAATGTTTTGTCCAAATGCACAGATTGCCACCTTTGATAATAGACGACTCATTTGTCATAATGCAGCGAGTCATTGAACTGCTGTCGCATTGGCCACACAGCGAGATGAATGCTAGTTGGAACTAGTTGGAAGTGATTAAGTTAGGCCCTTCTGGCATTCGGCCAATCTACGTATTTGGGAGTTACGGAATTTTCGTGACACAACAGGGAAACGGAGAGCTTTTAATTCTCAGACTTACAATAATTACATTAGAAAGCTTGGCTGAAGGTAATTTAACAGTCTAGTATGCAGTAACATTTGAAAAAAGTGCCTTTTTGTTTAAATAAGAAAAAAATACTGGAATACAGAACAGTAATGTTCCCGCGCTAGAAAATATGATTTCAATAGCAACTTAATCGGATTATTGATAAAATTTCTATCATTTGAGACTAAAATATTTATTTTTATTTAATAATTAAAAATTAACTCCGCCGTAGACGGTCCCAAGCCCGGTTTGAGAAAGGAGGAGGGTTGACTATAAACGGCGTCTACCTACATCACCAAGGTAACTACATTGATAGTCGTAAAAGACGCCAACGTCGAGTAGTAGGCGACGGTCAACTAACCTACTCAATAATCTGGCCACGGTGGGCCTTGGAGACTAAATACCTCCTAAAATAACCGACGTAGAAGGTAATGGGAACCCACTACGCTTATAGTCCCAAGAGAACTCCATGGAAGCTATGTCAAATAATAGAAATATTCTGTCGGGTGATCCGGCTGACCCCCGGCGCTCATCGATAACCGGGTCGAAGAGTGTGAAATGGGCTACCGAAGACTCCTCGATAGTGAGTCATCAGGCTACCGAGTCAGTTCATGCTACTGAAGACAACAAAAAACCTTCCATACGTCACAAACACAAAATCGGCACATGGAACGTTAGAGGCATCCTGAAGCCTGGGAAACTCGAAGTCATTGAGAAAGAGATGAGGGAATACCAACTTCTTATAATGGGACTATGTGAGACCCACAAAAAAGGAAGAGGCCATTTCAAGACACCTGCAGGAAACACGGTCTTTTTCTCTGGACACGAAACTGAGAGTAAGAACGGCGTGGGAGTCATTATGTCTCGGAAACTTGCCCCTCACATTACAGGCTACAATACAATCAATGACAGGATCATGACCATAAGAATCGATAGCACCCCCATTCCGCTTAACATCATTCAAGTCTATTCGCCAACTGCCCAATCATCACAAGATGACATCGATGAATTTTATGGAATGCTACAAACAACAATAGAAAGTATCTCCAAGCGCGAAATGACAATAATTCAGGGTGACTGGAATGCAAAGGTTGGAAGCACAGAACAGGATGACCACATCCGTCATATAATTGGTAAATATGGGTTAGGAACAAGGAACGAACGGGGCGAGAAATTAATAGATTTCTGTGTCAGTCAAGAGCTAGCNTTGCTGAGGGTAAAATGGACTGCTCACCGCACTAATGTATCCATCCTCAAAGAGCTCCAAATCAAACAAAGGCTTTCGTCGATTGTGCAATTGCGAATCCTTAATATGTTTGGACATATCATTCGTAATGAAAGGTCATTGGAACGTTTAGTGGTTCAAGGAAGAGTAGACGGTCAACGCTCTCGCGGCCGATCACCCATAAGGTGGACAGACTTGGTTAAGTTTTCTACGAAGTGTTCCCTTACTGAGTGTACACGTACCGCCACAAATAGAGAGAGATGGAGAAGCCTCTCAAAAGCCGCAACCAAATATTAAGACTTACATAACCACGACCACTCCGCCAGGAGTGAACGACTGAGAAGAAGAATTAGAGCCATACACCTATTAGGTTAAGTCGGCTATAAACTACAATAGATTGTATGTTTCTTGAACAATTTTTAGAACGAAACAAATTTAATTATTTAATTGACACCCCGCCTAAACCTTTCCGGGGAAATGCACATATACTACCTATATATATCATAGACTGAAAAATACATTACTCAAAAATAGAAGTTACATCAATATAGCTAGTTATTAATGAAACAAAAAATTAGGAAATGTATTTTGCACAGTGCAGTATGTATTTGCCCGGCATTTTTTATTATTGTTGTGATTTATACATGCATTACATTACATTGATAATATAAATTAAATACTCACTTGTAGCATAGACAACGTGAAACGGAATGCGTTTAGGCATTTTATTTTATTTTAGACGTAACCTCTAGTGCTATACATTTCCGGTGCAATTTTAAAAAAAACACACACACACCCATCAATTTTAAAATTCAGTTCTAAGTTGTAAGCATTTGAGATTGTTTTTTTTTTTAATTAATATCACAATATTATTGCATCACAAGAACCCTGTATTTATAATTTTTAATTGATTAAGATTAGATTGTTTGAGCACACACTGTACGACTGAAGAGTCTCCTGAACATCGCGCGAGTGGTAAAAGCGGGAAAAATCGATACTCGCACTTGAAGCTACGATCATGTGGTTGGGGTCAGAGCCATCTATTAACATTTCGCTTTAATGAAAATGTCTGCTTTTCGTAATGTCATACATACATATTAATTAAATTGGAGTGTCTGTTTGTAATATTGAAATAAGCGCTTTTTACTACATGCATATGAATATATGTACGGTGGTAGTACTGGTGGTGGGACCTCTTGTGAGTCCGCGCGGGTAGGTACCACCACCCTGCCTATTTCTGCTGTGAAGCAATAATGCGTTTCGGTTTGAAGGTTGGGGCAGCCGTTGTAACTTGTACCTTAGAACTTATATCTCAAGGTGGGTGGCGCATTTACGGTATAGGTATCTATGGGTTCTAGTAACCACTTAACACCAGGTGGGCTGTGAGCTCGTCCACCCATACAAGCTATAAAAAAATACATTTTTTACAATTTTTATCTGTCTGTCTGTTTATTCCGGCTAGTCTCTGGAGCGGCTGGACCGATTTTGACGAGACTTTCACTGATAGGTAGCTGATGATATAAGGAGTAACATAGGCTACTTTTTTTAGACGAGCTTCGCCCCGCGGCGTCACCCGCCGTACGACAATAACCGCGGGTAGCATCGCGGGCCTTAGCTATCAATAATAAAATTTAATGTTTCCGAAGCGAAGCGAGGGCGGGTCGCTAGTAGATAATAAATATACTTAATATTGAAGACTTAGCGTGGATAGGCAGATGAGTGCATAGCCGTTGTTTAAAAAAAGCGACTAATATTAATAATGTTCAGCTTGAAGCAAGATATCAGAGTATAAAATTCATTAGAATCATAATCATTCATTCCTTTTTAAGCCGAATGTATTAACTATTGTAGGATATATGGTCTTAGCTTCCCTTCCTGGGATAATCAAGGTGTTATCGAGGTTGTCTATAAAGTTAATATAAGTAATAACGTAATATTTATTATACATAATACATAAAGTTGTTCTTCTGTCTGACTTAATTATATTGTTTCATCAAGCTATACTTTTACTTAGGTTTCGTTAAGTTAAGCTCCTTTACATACAATAATTGGATTATATAGATTATTCGCGTCTGTCTGGACGTCTGTCGCGAATATTTTAACATTGCAATGTTGGCCGAGTGATCGAAATTCGATCGTGATCACCAACGCCTCTTAGCTCGTAGGTCCTGATTCAGATTCATCATGTGTAAGTTTTTTTTTTTATTGCTCATGCAGGCAGACGTGCATACGGCCCACCTGATGGTGAGTGGTTACCGTCGCCCATGGACTTCAGCAATGCCAGAGGCAGAGCCAAGCCGCTGCCTACCGCTTAATACTCTCCACAAGCCTCTTATATGTACGGCATTTTCTCTTTTGTTTTTTTTGTCTGTGATTTTAAAAAGAATGTTTGTTTGTGCTGTATATTAAGATAATTCATAAAACTAAATTAGTTAAATAGCTACAAACAAACAGACGAGAAAATAGCAGTTAACGGTTTTTGTTTTGCCTATTGATATTTAAAACATAATTACAGTATTAAAGAATCTGTAATTGGTGTTTGGCTTTGATAACTTATGTAGACAACGTTTTGATTAATTTATTGGCTATCGGCCAGAAAAGACGCATGAGCGAAACCCACAGACATTTATATTAGCTTCCATGAGGCTTTCCAGCTGCGCCCGGTTTGAGCGCACGGGACTCAGCCTTTGAGAAACAGGTAGGCGTCTTAGTTATGCCCCTGGCATCGCTGGCGTCCATAAGAGTCGGTAACCACTCACCATCCGGTGGGCCATACGTTTGCCTGCTTACTAAGGCAATAACAAAAAACAATCAGTGGGTTTCAGTAATGAATAAATGAATAATAACATTGACAAGAAGCCATTGTCGCTTTGACAAACCAACGAAACAAAACATAATAAAAAATGATTTTATTGTAAAAAAGCGTGGGGTGCTTTTCAGGATATTATCAAAATAGCCCTTCTACTCATATCTATTCATTTTTTATTACAAATTTTTAATTCAAATTTATTAAAAAAAAAATTCTATTTTTTAGTTGGATTTTCTGTAAAAGCGTATTTTGTTAGTTTATAAGCTATTTTTTTTTAAATTTTTAGTTGAATTTCAATTTTTTCAACATTTTTTTTAATTTTTTTTTAAATGAAGCATTGTCATCGGTCCTTAATAAGTATACCAAAATTCGAGTTAATCCGAGGTTTTGAAGGGGGTTCAGAGGTTTCAAAATCATGTTCAAAGATTCCGTTACAAACATACATATGTAAGCTTGAGGGTAGACATTATTTTGTTGAACACCAAGTAACACGAAGTCACCTTTGATTTCTGATTTAATCAACAATATGTTATCTTAACAATTCACTTTAACACTTGTTCAACCTTAACCAGTACGTACAACAGTCACTGAATCACACAACGTAACAAGGATATAGTAAGTGCACCGGGCAAACGCAGTCCAACGAATGTTCATTTCAAGGCACGTTCCGCCTTTTTATACTAGCCGGCGCAGCTGGCTTATGAGTCACTTCTGTTGCAGCTGTTGTTTACGAGTGGAACGACACGGCCGGCGCGCCTGGCTTGTGTGAGTCACTCCTATTGCACGTGCTATATAACATAAATATCGTTAACGCCGTCACATACATACATACGTCTGAAGCTAATAAAAAAGCGTACTAAAGAGAGAAATGTTTAATTTCAAAATCTTTGGTCCATCGTTTATTTCCTGCAGAAGTTATATTGCGTGGACGCGACGATCCAGTCCAGTACTGCGGTGACTCTCATGTTGATGCCCGGACTGTTTGATGCACAGAAACGACCGTAACTCACGATGCCCAGGTTGAAGAACAATCCGGTACTCGGGTCTGTATAAAGCAGAGGGCCACCGGAGTCGTCCTAAAGCAAAGAAAAGCAATTGATTTTTTGATAATACTAGCGACCCGCCCTCGCTTCGCTTCGGAAACTGAAATTTATTATTGATTTATCCACTATTTCATGGATGTTATTATACATATAAACCTTCCTCTTCAATCAGTCTATCTAATAAAAAAAACCGCAACAAAATCCGTTGCGTAGTTTTAAAGATTTAAGCATACATAGGGACAGACAGATATAGGGACAGAGAAAGTGACTTTGTTTTATACTATGTAGTGATTTCAATTTTGCTTTTGTGACTGAACCAACTAAAACTATATTTACAATTAGCATTGGGTTGACCGAGAATTTATTGGTTTATAGATTAGTTCGTGTATTATTAATTATTTAATTCTTTATATCGGCGTAAACATACAACGATAAAAATCCACTCGAATAACAAACAATACATATTATTATTTAGCATGCTCATTAAAATTACACAAAACGCTTAGTTAAAACACCGACACATCAAAATCGATTTATTTAAGAGTAACTAGTGCCGGTTGTGATGTAATATGCTACATTCTCGGGCCCGCGGTCTGCTCCCAACATCTGCAAACTCTATCGTCAAATCCCGCATACCTCGCGCGCCCCCTTAGGCGAGGGGACCTCGTAGGAGGTCCGGCCCCCAGCCCGAATAAAAAAGAGCATTAGGATTTGTGTATCGTAATAAGCTCTGAATGCATCTGAAAAGTTTCTAGTTAATCTTGAAGCGAAAATTACATCGAAAAATTTCGTTACATACATAAATATGCAGAAACTTAGAGACATTGGCTAATAAAAAGGTTAATAAGTGAGAATACAAACTTGACACGCGTCCTTCCCAGGAGTGAATGTGCACATCTGTCTGTCCGTCAGTGTCGACTCGTAACTCCTACAGGTGCTCTGGCTAATGACGTCCAGGTCTACCTTACGGAGAACATTAGACGTTGGACCTCCCGGGAATAACGTTCCCCAACCTACGGGCAATCATTCTCCAATACATACCGGAAATATTACTTAAAAAACAGTGCCAGTCAAATTCGAACCAGGATTTTTTTTTATTTATTGGCCTTGCACGTAGACGAGCATGCGGCCCACCTGATGGCGAGTGGTTACCGTCGCCCATGGACTTCAGCAATGCCAGGGGCAGAGCCAAGCCGCTGCCTACCGCTTAATACTCACAAGCCTCTTTTAAAGAAGGACATGTCATAGCGCTCAGGAAACACCGTGGAGGGGAGCTCATTCCAGTTGCTATACCAGATATAAGTTTACTACTCGTTTTACCTATGGGGCCACGGATAGTTCAATATATTAGTTACTACTAGTTATTACTATAGGGTAGGACTTCCCAAACTTATTTAGTCTACTGCCCACTTTGAGAACAAATTATTTTTAGCGCCCCCATTTTTTCACCTACTCGAAACCACAATAGCGAGACCTCAGTCGGTGTCTAAAAGTCCTCCTAGATGAAGTTACAAATCGCCTCGCCTGCAGGATTCGAACACCGTTGCATCGCTAGATACGAATGCACCGGACGTCTTATCCTTTAGGCCACGACGACTTCAGAAAAAAACTTAATATATCAGAGTGGGATTCACGTTGCGACGTCTAATCACAAGGTAGACCGTGATCTTGTCCTCACTTGGCCACTATAAAAGCTTGTTTGAAATAGGTATTATTTTCCGGGTAATAAATTTTGGTTTGTTCCACTACTTACCAAGAATAGTCACTTTTAAACCAGTGAAATTGGTATTGACGAACTTGAACGGTAGACAAGCCGGTCCCACTATATCGCTGAATGTTATTTCCTTTGTTGTTTCCACTATCGCCACGTCGTAGTCATAATTGGAACTGTCAAAACACATAATATCGCAGTTATCACTGGAATGAAACAGGAGTGACATCGCGTGGAGTACTGCTTCCGTCTTTTGGCCGAGGTTCTCAAGTACCAGCTACGAGGACGAGTGCTTTAAGGAATTGTACAAGATGATCTGTCCATCTCCTTTTCCCGCCGCCGAATCAGAGCTCATCCATACTATCTGGAACCACTGCGTTTATCGACATTACGTTTCCATAGATCATTCTTGGCATGTACCGTCCAGGTCTGGAATGAACTCCCCTCCACGGTGTTATGCGAGTGCTATGACATGTCCTTCTTCAAACGAGACTTGTGGAGAGTACTCAACGATAGATAGCGAGTTGGCTCTGTCCTTGAAATTGCTGAAATTTAGCGACGGTAACCAATCATCACCAGGTGGTCCGTATGCTCGTCTGGTTACAAAGGCGACGATAAAAGAATGGCGCGTAAATTCTAAAATCGACTAATGGTTGGGTTAATAGAAAAAACAAAACGTGCATCGAAGAAATAATTTAGGACTTGTATGGATGTATACTCACGCAGTAAATAATGGATGTATAATAAACCTTTGTACTACGTAACCCTGAGCTGCCGATTCTGTGCCTAAAAACAAGATAGATTGGGTTATATAGGATCATTAGAACATAAATGGAATAAATAAAATAAAAAATAACTATAACAATACAGACAAACAAATTACAAAAACAACAGAACAAATTAAAGTAACTAAGTAAGGGTAGTATTTTCTTTTATTTTTTTTTATGGCTGGCAATAGCTGGTATAATAACAGTGGATATATGGTTCATTTAAGCCCAAAGAGTATCGAAAAAATGTATTGGTACAACACCGCGGAGTCATTGTTAAAAGTTTGGATAAAACTTGTTATTATCGTGTTTTTATTTAATAAGAACGATAGATAAGGCACAAAAAAATGAAAATATGTAAATATCGCGATTTGAACGAGATACTTAAATTAAGGAGGATTTTGGTCACGGGACCCGCCCAGAGAAAATACTCAAATTGAATGATCAATTTCAAATGGTAGTTCGTGTTTTAGGCGTCCTGCTTCACTTGACAGAATATAATTTAGTTGTTGTTAAAAATAAAGAAATGGAGTTATCAAAACACATACCGCTGGAAACATCGTGTTCTCCAACTATAACTCCTATGTTATCCGTTCTTTGGTTGGCAATACAATGGGCTGCGGTCAGTACATGTCTATTAGAGATCAAGGCGCCTCCGCATTTGATTTGCCTGATGCTGATATCAACTAACCCGACCATCATTCGGAATTCATTGATTTTAGCTTCTTCACCCCCCACAATGCGGGTCTAAAATAAGTGATTAATAAGTGATTAATTACCTAATTTCCTTTGCTTAATTTCATGCTACTTTTCAAAGAAGAACGCATAGCTTCTCCTTGGCAGAATTACTGAGCCATATCTGTACAGCATTTGGAGAGAAGCATGCTGAATTTAAGAAAATCAAACAGAGTACGAAACAAAGTCATTAGAGGTCGCACTAAGATACAAAATGTTTCAACTAGAATTCGGAAACTAAAATGGCAATGGACAGGACATACAGTAAGAGGCATCGAAAAATAGAACAAAAGTATAGTGTTTTGATATCCTAGAGATAGAAAAAGGAAACGAGGCAGACAGATTCGGAGGTGGGAAGACGAGGTAAAGACAGAAGCAGGAAAACTATCGACAAGGAAAGCTCTAAGCCGAGTAGATTGGAAAGAAATGGAGGAGGCCTTTGCCCAAGTTGGGCAAACAGGCGAAGTTGTCGATGTCATCGACTCGGCAGAGTCGTTAATTTAAGTTTGTTATTTGTCCGGCGAGAAACTCAGTGGGCTGTGTCTGAGGGTTAATTTACTCGTCGAGCCCTTCGTCGTAAGCAACGGGTTCGATGAGAACGATGACCGGTGCTTGAGGTACCTAAAAGCACCGTTCCCTGATAAAGTAAGACCACTAGGCCATTATGATTTCTATGAAAATAGCAAGAAGCACTCTACTACCGAACCAAGAATACAACCCCCCTGGCTTAGTTAATAAAACAAAATTATGCCCTAAAAAGTGGCCAACGCGAATGGTTATGAAATTAGCATTCAGGAAATGAAAGGGATTATACGATTGAGGTGTCAGGTTTGAGCCCCGTGAGCTCACCTACTAGTTAAGGTTACGCTGAAATAGTCTCTTAAGGCTCTCAGCTTAAGTAAAAAAGAATCGGTTGTCTGTAAAGTCGGTTTACTGACGATAGTTGAACGTGACAACGTCATAAGAAAATACTGATGGAATGGTTTCATTTTTCAACAGAAAATTTAAATATTTTTTTTGATAGATATTTTGTATGGACAATTGACACCACATTCATTTTTCTCTGAACTTCATACTTGACGAAAACATGTATTATTGTTAGCAGCTGTCCACGCGGATGCATCGCTCACTCAAGTAGGAGAGAGACAGATGTCGAACGCTGCCGAACGCGGAGGCCGATTGTGCCTCTTTGTCGCTCGTTGCGCGCTCTCGCTTTGCACTTCAAGCCTTAAATAGAACGCCTCAGAGCGAGGTAACGCCGCACGAGTCATGTTTTTTCGTGCGTGCAGCCAGCGTTTAATTTATAACGCGTACCTGTTTTCTTTCCCCGCATCTGCAAGGTGCTGGACTAGGAGCTGATGCCACCGCGTATACGCGACACCTGAAGTATCCGCCGGGACTTGAGTTTGAAGATATCAACCCTGTAATTAATACGAAGTTATTGTATCTTCGCATTTTTGCGCATCATAAACACAATTAAATCAACTTGTACGGTTTATACTCTCGCATTTACTGTCGTATTATTTCCGAGGTTGATAATGTTTTTTTTTATTACTTAGATGAGTGGACGAGGTCACAGCTTACCTGGCGTTAAGTAGTTACCGGAGCCCATAGACAACTACAACCTAAATGCCGATACCAACCTTGAGACATGAGTTCTAAGGTCTCACTTACGGCTACCCCACCCTTCAAACCGAAACGCACTACTTTTTTTTTCCTACCTAAGCTGGTCTTGAGAAACCATTTCAGCGTAGCCTTAAGGCTAGAGGCTCAAACCTGACGACGTTGCTAGCACTAGCCCTAGCAAGAGCATTGCTTCGCAGAATCTACCACCGGATCGGAAACGCGACCCACTGAGAAGATCTAGTATAGACAACCCTCCATTCTTAATACGTCGTTTTTCAGAAATGAATTATGGTTTACTTGTTAAATAAATTAAAACACTCCTTACCCAAACTAAGTCTCTGGCCAACAGAAGTTGCAGATAAAGTTCCTCTCCCGCAGTAGACTTCGGCTCCACTCAATTGGGGGTCACCCGTCCTTGAGAGCAATAGTCGATCTATGCAAGAAGAACTCTGAAATCAAATGTATCAAATTACGAATTGTTTTATACTTAGGCATTTTTGTGTATGTGGCACATGCATGTTGTAGTCAGTTCTGGATATTTTGACGTTGATCACGAAATTTTCAAACAAATCTTCCTGTGTAAACATCTTTCGTCGAGGTGAATCATTTCCACCACTTCTCCACCACCACTTATTCGCGGCGTTGGCGGGGCTGAGGACCCGTAGAGCTAGGAACTGTCCAACGGCCAGGGCAATTGCGCTGTTAAACGAATTTCTGTCCGAAATCCAGGATGCAGACATATTTGCCGATAGTTGGGGAATACTTTTTTTCCAAAATAATGTTATTTTTAGGATATTAATAGTACTTAATAATTTTAATAATGTTTTTTTGTGTTAACGAATTAGGCGTTTTGGTGCAAACTGTAAGCCTGACTTTGAATTGAATGGAATAAATAAATAAATTAATTAATTAATTTCAGTAGGAATACTCAAGAACGAACTACAAAGAGGGTCGACAGATAACTCTCATACAACGCAAGACATTTGACAGATGCCTGAATCTCGCTTACGACATTTTCAAGATAAGCTTGCATATATACAATTTCACCCGCTCGGTAGTGATACACTTCGATAAAGCGGCACGACACGAGAACCCTCTCATCGTGGCCGCCGGTAATTACATTCCCGATCCTGCGGAAAGAATGGAAAGCAGTCGACGTCGCCCAAAACACGTCATTTCGGATCCTCCCAATCCACTAACGGTGCTTTTAGGTACCCCAAGCACCGGTCACCGTTCTCGTCGAACCCGTCGCTTGCGACGAAGGGCTCGATGAGTAAATTAACCCTCAGACACGGCCTACTGAGTTTCTCGCCGGATCTTCTCAGTGGGTCGCGTTTCCGATCCGGTGGTAGATTCTGCGAAGCACGGCTCTTGCTAGGGTTCGTGTTAGCAACGTCGTCAGGTTTGAGCCCCGTGAGCTCACCTACTAGTTAAGGTTTCGCTGAAATAGCCATTCAAGGCTACCAGCTGAGGTAGAAAAAAAAAAGGTAGTGATAGCTATATCTGCTCCTAGCATTGTCTACTCTGACAGTGCTTGCAATGGCTCGGAATGAATAACCGGAAACTCAATAGAATAAATTATCAAAATCATATGTAACAGAGCAATTTTATTTCTAACATAATTATTAACATTACTCTGGTCCTTTTGTTTGATATTGCTCTGTTTTGTCTTTTGTCTGATCGAGTCGAAAACGCGAACAATATCACTTTAATTTCTTAAGTAGCTTTTTTTAAAGTATATAATATTTTCTTTAAACTAGAGACAAAAATATGAGGAGAGTGTGAGTTAATACTTAATTTAACATATATGTGATGTATATCGGTTCAAAACGCCAAAGCGTACGAGAAATTTCCCAACTACGCCGCTCCTATTCGTTGCCGTTGGCAAATTCGATTGTGATGGCGTTAGCTGGCTATGTATCTAATATATAAAATTCTCGTGTCACAATGTTCGTTCCCATACTCCTCCGACACCGCTTGACCGATTCTCATGAATTTTTTTATGCATATTCAGTAAGCCTGAGAATCGGCTACTATCTATTTTTCATACCCCTAAGTGATTAGGGTTGTCCACCCCTAACATTTTTTTTTATTTGGACTTTTTTTTTTGTTATAATGAGGTATTATATGGTTGAATGAGGTTTTGTTATTTTTATTATATATTCCCTCATCGTTCACAGCACTACATACCTCTTTCACTCATTTACCACATCCTTACACACTTACAATAAGTTAGTTTTTTTTTCTACACTAGAAATTCCCTAGAAATCTTATATATGGCAAAACAATGTTTGCCGGGTCAGCTAGTACACTATAAAAATACTGTCAATCAATAAAGTTTGTTTTGTTTACGCATTGAATTTGTTGTGCAATGTCAAAGATTTGCTCCCATTTTCTCTTTCTCTCAGTGTAATTTGAATAAAGCAAAGAAAACGGCTGTCTGGCGATCCATTCTACTTAATACAGGGCTATTGGGATTCAGAGAATTACATTAAAAGACCTTGAAATGGTCATATCGACCAAACGGCAAGTGTTAATTACCAAAAAAAAAAAAAAAACATGTGCATTATATTTCTAGACTCGTTATATTTACATTATGTTATGTTTTAATTAAAATGTATATCATTTAATATTGTAAATTCGAAACCGAATGAATCTATATATTTATACGTGAAGCAAAAACTTTGTATCCCTTTTTACGAAAATTGCGCGGACGGAGGAGTATGAAATTTTTCACACTTATAGAGAATATAGAGAAGAAGTGCACAATGCTAATATTTTTTTAAAATAATGCATAAAAGATACTTTAAATCAATAAAGAAAACATTACACACACTACATACCATGTATTTGACGCACACACGCATGCATACTATTTATTGTCAATCTTTTGTTCTTGACGTCTGTTGTCAAATTGAGAATAAATTAAATATTGTTTGTCTTTATTAATATTTTTTATAGTGTGGTCTTGGCGAAATTTGTGAATATAAAAGTATAAAATACAATCATAATAGTGTACAAACTTACAATTCCAATTAATTATAGTCGAATTTCGACTACTGCGGGACCTCTAGTATTAAATATTTTACAAGTCAACGTTTTGTTTCTCACCTGTAGCCCTTTCTGTTGAGCTAGTATTTGTTGAGCACTATGGAGCTGTATCATTGAAACATTTGAATTATTTGCGTCAACTCACGTAATTTCAATTAACAATATATTACTGAAATTGGCGCACGAGCTCAAGGGCTACATGGTATTTCATGGTTAAAGGAGCCGATAGACATATGAGACATATTATAACGTGAATGCTGCCACCCAATTTGAGACATGAATGAGGTCTAAGCCTCGGTTTTATGGTATCACGGCTGTCCCGCAACAAAACGAGATTCTACTTCGCAGCAGGTATAGGCAGGGTAATCTGGATAATTGTACTTACCCGGACGGGCTCTCAATACACACCCCATGAGTCATTACGCTTATTACAATTTTGGGTTTGATTTTTATTACACTATATTTACCATTAACGTTGAAGGCACTCGTGAATCGTGAACAATTGTTATGGGTACGTATTTCATTAGAATGTGCCGGGTGTCTTATCCTTTAGGATACTTCATAAGCAGATTCCATAGTTTCTTAGTCATACTTTTTAAATGCTTCGGCAAGCAAACTTATATACCGGAAACGCACTGGGTCGCGTTTCCGATCCGGTGGTAGATTCTGCGAAGCACTGCTCTTGCTAGGGCCAGTGTTAGCAACTCTCCGGTTTGAGCCCCGTGAGCTCAACTACATGTTAGGGCGAAGCTGAAATAGCCTCTCAAGGCTATCAGCATAGGTAGGAAAAAAATGTACATAAATAGCCGCCACAGGGCGAGCCAATCAACCTTAACCCTTTCATTGACTTAGTTTGAAACAAAAAATGAATTGAAGCAGAGATCCTTTCTAGTAAATTATATTTCTTGCTTCTTAACTGACACGTGACGCAATTTCAGAAAACAAAAAGTGTTTTAAAAAAAGATACCTGATATTCATTAACTTACTTGGGGTATGGAGATTATGGGGCAATCTATTTGACAATTGTATCCAACGGGACATGTCGCTATCCATCTACATTGAATACCGGGACTGTAGTTGCCGGGGTAACCCGGACTGCTTATATCCACCGTAGTTCCGACGGCAATCTGAAAGCATATTGTGTTTGTGAGGGTTCTTACCTGAAAAAGCCATGAGGAACCGCGCCGATACGAACACCCTTCGCATCGAAGACATACTATTTTATTTTTATTGTATTATATTTTCTATCTTCTATATATATAAAAATGAATTGCTGTTCGTTAGTCTCGCTAAAACTCGAGAGCGGCTGGCCCGATTTGGCTAATTTTGGTCTAGAATTATTTGTGGAAGTCCAGAGAAGGTTTAAAAGGTAAATAAATATGAATATAACATAAATAAATATGAATATAACAATTTTGTTTTTCCTTTGATGTATCCCCCGTCGGACGGATTCCTAAGTTTATTTTATACAAAAGTTTAGGTCTTTTATTTATCGATTGAGGCACTACGAAGTCTGCCGGGGCAGCTAGTATAATAATATATACCTAAATTTAGTCTCGCTAAAACTCGAAAACGGCTGGACCGATTTGGCTAATTTTGGTCTTAAATTATTTGTGGAAGTCCAGAGAAGGTTTAAATGGTAAATCTATATATATAAAAATGAATTGATGTTCGTTAGTCTCGCTAAAACTCGAGAAAGGCTGGACCGATTTGGCTAATTTTGAGGCACTACGAAGTTATTAAATAATTATTGGGTAAATTGATTTGGCATATAGTTTTTGAATGGCCTGACTGTCTGTAGATTCATGAAACTATGGACCTCTCACTCTAACAGAGCGGATTGAATGTTAGCAACGATTAGATATTTGTTCCCAGGATGATGCTCAATAATCGGACGTAAGAGTTACAGCGGGAGCAAGAGTTGTTGCGGATCAATTCCCACTCCCGTACCATGAGAGTACACTATGTTCCAGGATTTTAAATCGATCACTTCAAACAGAAAACCTTGCGCTCGATAGGAATTAAAGATATTTCTACTACAAAGAGACTATGAGAATGCAGCAGTTATAGTCAGTGGTGTCCTGGGTCAATATTAACATAATTGTACGCACGAAAACATAAGTTCTGATTAATATGGAGTATTACTCCCATCTCTGGGCCAAGACTCCGAAGTGCAGATACTTTTATTTCACTTCCCCCAGGAGAGTTTTGTTCAGATCATCAATAATGCGAATCCAAATCACAAACAGTCTAGAAAGTTTCGGTTTACGTTGAAACTTTGGTTTTCTGTGCCTTTTGTACAGTGCATTCCATGGGAAAAGCTCTGAGGAATCATGCCCAATGAACCCGTCATTTTACTATTACTTGATGTGTTCTACAAAAGTGGTTTCAAAAGTGTAATAGCCGCTGCTTGTCTGCGTTTCGAACAAGCTGATTGATATATATATACATAATAGTGACTCGCCCTCGCTTCGCTTCGGAAACATAAAATTTTATTATTGATAGTTGATGTTACCCGCGGTTATTGTCGTACCGAGGGTGACGCCGCGGGGCGAAGCTAGTCTAAAAAAAGTAGCCTAAATTACTCCTTATATCATCAGCTACCTGTCAGTGAAAGTCTCGTCAAAATCGGTCCAGCCGTTCCAGAGATTAGCGGGAACAAACAGACAGACAGACAAAAATTGTAAAAAATGTTATTTTGGTGTATGTACCGTATATGTATACCGCATGTAGTAAAAAGCGGTTATTTCAATATTACAAACGGACACTCCAATTTTATTTATATGTATAGATGAAGGAACATGACCGTAACAACTAGATGAGCCTATATTTGTAGCTCGTTGACATGTAAGCTAATTAAAAAGCTATCTTTTATTTGCCAAAACTAATTTAAATAACACTTATTTAGATGGAGGACCGTGATAAGATACGCAAGATAACAAATAAAAAATAATCAATTGCTTAATTCATTATCATTTAAAGATTTTATCTTGTTTTTCTATAATTCTGTACAATCCCTTGTTTGGAACTTTAAAGAAAATGATCGAACTGTCTGAGGCTTTCACGTATAGCTAATTGAAATTCATTCTACCATAACTGAGGTAATAAGGGTTATAGATTTACAATTCAAATGTGTTTTTGTTGTGATTGTTATGTGGTGACCCTAAAACTCACTTGGTGGTATAGGGTCACCGTCGTTAAGAGATCTCAGCGATTCCGAGGCCATGAAAAAGTTTTATTTATTTATTTATTTATGTACACACAGAAAAAAGATATAGTACAGAGTAATAGGAAAATTATGTACAAAGGCACTGCTTATTTCTTTAAGAAATCTATTCAAGCAGACCTGCGAGAGGATAATGAGAATAATAATAAAAAGTGATAAGTGTGTGTAGAACAAATAACACATAACTAAAATAACAAATACAACATGAGAATTATAGTAATGCACATACACATACCAAATATTGTTAATTAAACTTGAGTACAAAATATTATAAGTAACACAGTAACACTCGTATATGAGTCGTCTATTATCAAAGGTGGCAATCTGTGCATTTGGACAAAAAAAATTTATTGATATGTCAATACAGATTGATTTGATTATAATCGTCTCCTTCAAAGAATACGGTTCAAAACCTGCATTAAATAAAGGTTAATAGTTAACCTGTTATTTATCTAAGATGCCGTTCCGAAGAGTTTTGTGACTGCCGATGGAATACAAAGTCAATAATTCGTTTTTCTGATTTACCAATCATTGTCCAAAAGTCAGATTGCCGCCTTTGATAATAGTCGACTCATATACGAAGAGTATATAAGAGTATAGAAAAGTTGTCACATATCGCTACTATTTTGAAGCGTAGTTTGCAGGACTTGCATTGAAGCCACCGCGAAACATCGATTTGGGAATATCATTTAAGAGGACCAGTTTACTTAGTAAAACGGGTCTCTTGAAATGGTTATTCAAGGTATCTTGGTTGAATCATAGATATTTCTTAGATCACCATGGAACATATAGTAGGTACATAACGCAGAGAGAACCACAGTAAACCTTAACCATAGTGGCCTTTAGTAAGCTTGGAGGCGCCAAGGGATCCACAAAATCAAGATCTTATCTTAAAGTTCTTTCTGTTTAGTTGTCATTTCTAAGCTAAATTTTCTGTTACATTGCTTTTTTTCTTGCTACAAAATAAATGCTTACATTTTGCGCAAAGTCGCAACCCGGGCTCTGTGATAACACGCCATTCAAGGCCAGTACAACCAATACAAGTTGAAGGAACATTTCTGAAACACAAATTAACATTCAATGACAGGGGATGTTAGCGTTCTGCTGATGTGGATGGTGGTAGTAGGAGGTCCGAGGAAGAATCAGTTGTCTTACTGGTCCGACAACCCGACGGCAATAAGCAAGTTTCTCAATCGCCAGATTGTACTATGACTTCCAGAGTAACTCTTGCAATGGTCAACGTTCCCAACGAACTTGCCGAAAGTAATGAAGATCTCGACGTGCAGCCTAGCCCATAGACAGCCCACTGAGTTTCTCGCCGGATCTTCTCAGTGGGTTACCATTCCAATCTGGTAGTAGATTGAACGTAGCTTTACTGTTGGTAGGATCTCTTGTGAGTCCGCACGGGTAGGTACCACCACTGTTACAACGGAGACCTTAGAAGTTATATCTCAAGGTGGGTGGCGCATATACGTTGTAGATGTCTATGGGTCCAGCAACCAGGTCTATATTGCAACTTATACTATATATAATAACAATACCAAATATTTCTCTACATCTTTATTAATTTACTCTACAGCTTTTATGATCGCCGCTGAAATGTTTATATTGATTTTTTTTATCTGTTATTAAATCTATAATTATTTATACAAATAATTTATTAAGGATTACGTTTGCTCGATTAAATATAATCACTTCGATTAAATATATGTAGATATTTCGGCGTCACATTGAAGTTGAAGATCACAGCTAAAATTAAAAATATAATAAAAAGAATTTGAGCAAAAAAGTAATCCAATTTTGTATTTCAACTTAAGAAAATTATTCGGTTTACATATTTTTTTGTTTAAGAAGTAAAATGTTTTACCTGAACTTTTCAATCACACTTGTCAACTGAACGAATGTGTCTTTGTTAGCCGTAATTTATTGACATCTTTACATTTATATATTCAGGAAATTACAGGCTGTTCAAAATTGGTTAATTTCATATTTATTTCAGAAGTAAGTACCTATCTTTTAAATAATAGTCTGTAAGAAAGAATCTTTAGAGCCTCTGATAAAATTTTAAAAAGGACGTAAGCAACATTTTCATTTTCAGCGTCCATCATTATCCTGCCCTTCTCCCAGTCACCTGGGGTCGGCGCAACATGTTTTCTCCTTCCATACTCTTCTATCATATACCATTTCTTCGCTCACTCCCCTCCTACCCATATCGTCTTTCACACAATCCTTTTATCATCGCACCTCCCGCCATCGAAGCAGAGTTCATCCATATTATCTGGAACCGCTGCGTTCATCGACAGTGCGTTTCCAAAGATCTTTTTTGCCACGTACCATCCGGCTTTGGAATGAACTCCCCTCCACGGTGTTTTCCGAGCGCTATGACATGTCCTTCTTCAAACGAGGCTTACGGAGAGTACTGTATGGTAGGCAGCGGCTTGGCTCTGCCCCTGGCATTGCTGACGTCCATGAGCGACTGTGACCACTTACCATCAAGTGGGCCGTATGCTCGTCTGCCTACAAGGCAATAAAAAAAAAAAAAAAAAAAAAAAAAANAAAAAACAAAGAAAAAAAAAAATAAAAAAAAAAAAAAAAAAAAAAAAAAAAAAAAAAAAAAAAAAAAAAAAAAAAAAAAAAAACAATCCATCCATTTCTTCTTAGGTCTACCTCTTCCTCTAAATCCTTCCACATTCATAGTTAACACTCTCTTAACAACCTCATTTTCATTTCGTCTCATCACATGTCCATACCATCCCTAACGTGCACTCCTCAGCTTCTCTGTCACAGGTGCCACTTGCCAAGACATTAATTAGTCGATGTTCCGATTGCATCACAAACCCTACTTATGTTCAAAAAATCATAAAATTTTGACTTCTAGAATAAATTGGCAGCAAATATGGAAAGGCCGTAGTAAATGTGTGTTCTGAATTTTTAGTATAAATGATCATTAAACTCGTGGACGAATCCCCATGCGTTGGACTGATCAGGTGAAAGACCTTACTGAAACCCCACTTAACGAGAGTGTGCGCCGGGCCTCGGAAAACATCTGTTAAGGCTTTAATGAGCAAGAATTCCACATGACCACGACTGCTCTGCCAAGAGCAACCGATTATGATGATGATCATTATATTTACTAGATGGGACAACGATGACTGGGTATACATTAAAATTTTCTGAAAATACTGCATGTGATCAATGACACCCCAGATCCGACGCATATTGAAGAACCTATGTTCATGTTCACCAAGATATACGTCCGGGAACAATTTTCGTCTTTTCGATTTCTTTTAACAAGGTTGTGTTCAACGTCAGTAGAATATTTCGGTAAACTCATAAAGACATAAAGAGAAAAAGGTGTGGTGTCGTGGGACACCAGATAGGAACGAAGTTCCTTCGGCTAATGTAGAATCGACACAATTTGCAAAAAAAAAATCGTGCTCAATTTTATGTAGGTTTTCTTGATTTTTCTCTTAAATTTTGCTGATTAGTTTTTATTTAAGTGCAGGAAAGTATTTAGGAAATTCAGTATTTTAGGAAATAATAAATTACGTAAAATAAAAAAAAAATCGTAATTTAAATTATCAATTAAAATAACAAAATGTGTCTCTTTATTTTTGTTTGACAACATAAAATTACATAGAAATAAAAATAATTACAAAATAGAGAGAGAAGGGATGAGAGACCGAAAAAAAAGAAAGAGAAAGGTATTATACACTACTCGCTTGTGTATACGACTGTCGCGCCTGCGCACGTCTCATTTAACGGTTTTATTCCACGGACTTTTCTTACGGTTTTACTATCACATTTTTTTCAGTTCGGTCGCGCAGCAAAATCCCTATCTCCTCCAAGCCTGCCGTAAGGAACTTCGTTCCAAAAAAAAACTCATCCTTAAAGTTTAAAAATAGGTAATTACAAAAAAAATACTTTTGAAATTTTGAGCAGCCTGTGTATTGAATTATTTATTATTCATTATGTGGGCACATCTGTACAAACATTGCGAAGACAAACGACAAAATGCCGAGCCGAATAACAATTAACAAATACATAAACTAATTTTCTTGACAACGTTGAATATTTCAAGCAATTTCTGATCGGTTCATAAAATTTTAATGACAATGAATGTTTTCATAAATTCTTTCGATCACTTGAATTTCTTATACGTATATATATATATTACGTACTAGGTACGTACATACATAAACAATGCAAAAACATCAGTTACAAAACAATTTCTTACATGATAATAGCATCACTAAGTACCTTTCACGGGATTTTGTAAATACTAATTAATTTGATTAGTAAAACTCACCTGTGAACTCGCTTTTTTTGTCAATCTTAAAATTAACCGAAGTACAGTTAACAAGCTTCGATAAGCATGCCCATCGTAAGACACCACGACTTCATACGATCTGTCACCGGTATATAAAAGAAAATCGTGTCGGCTTCAGCCCTTGTTTTGTTTCATACGACAGTAAAGATAACGATTATCACATAGTGTAAATAAATGTTAGTTGTCAAATTTATGGAATGCGTCGCAGCCTAGTTTTTTTTTTATTGCCTAGATGTGTGGACGAGCTCACAGCCCACTTGGTGTTAAGTGGTTACTGGAGCCCTTAGACATCTACAACGCAAATGCGCCACACATCTTGAGATATAAGTTCTAAGGTCTCAGTATAGTTACAACGGCTGCCCCACCCTTCAAACCGAAACGCATTACTGCTTCCCGGCAGAAATAGGCAGGGTGGTGGTACCTACCCGCGCGGACTCACAAGGGCTCCTACCTAAATACGCATAATTACGTAAAGTATAATTATGCGAAATTAAAATAAAATAAATGAAGTCGAGGAGATCCTTTATTCTCGATGCCTCCAATGAACACTACTCTAACTTCAAATTCGTAGGTTTACAGGAGTAGAGTTTAAACGAAAAAAGTTGATAAATATATCTGCAATAATAAAGATTTTATGGTTTTTTCTTGTGTAACTAGCTGATTTACTCTTGCTTCGAACCCCATTAATAATGAATTTGTAATACTCTTAAAATAGTGAAGCGATTTGCGTGAAAAACGAAAATTTCAAAATTTTGAGTTAGAGTAGTGTTCATTGGAGGCATCGTTCTAATATAATTGATCTAAAACAGTTAGCCTGAACTAAATGCTTACATCAGCGGTCAATTCACCAGCTCATCTGAAATAATAAAAAGCACCTACAATAATACTTTTTTTTTTATTGCCTTTGTAGGCAGACGAGCATACGGCCCACCTGATGGTGAGTGGTTACCGTCGCCCATGGACTTCAGCAATGCCAGGGACAGAGCCAAGCCGCTACCTACCGACTAAGTACAACACATTATTAGAACGAACAAAACTATCTTACTGATGTGTTTATACTGTGCGACAGGTATGAAGGCTCCGAATAGATAAGCAAATCACTTCATATTAGGTTCACTGTTTTAATTGCTGATAATATTATAGTTTTAATTTATTTTCCCGTTGAATTCACGTCCAAATTCAGATTCGAGTTTTCAATATCATCTTTTAATTTAAAAGTCAGTATTTTGGCGACAGTAATGTGATTAACATTTATTAATTAAAAGTTCAGACAGTTGTTCGTAACCACAATAACTATAAAATGGATAATAACTTAGAAATAGTAATGGACACCTCAATATGTGTGGTGGCATACTAATCCTGATGCCTGTGAGTTTCAGTAACAACTTAAAATCAGATGAACTGTAAGCTACAGCTGTAATTGAGAACAACTCAATAAACAAAAGTTAGCTTTGATAAATTCAAATTCCGTGAAACGCCAATGTAAGCATTAGGTAGAAAATGTCATTACGCTATAAGTACACAGCTTCTTTTAAAAATTCAACTCCTATAACTTTATTGAGACTACAAACTTTTAACTAGGAATAGAATAATGGAAAATTCCATTAATTTTAATATTTATTGTTTCAGCGGACAGATAATAAATCAACAGAGATTCAAATCAGTTTATCGTTGATAAAGAGATTGCAGATTAGATTAAAAATTTAATAATTATTCGCCTTATTGGTAAAAAGGATTACGGATCGTAACATCTGCAATAAAGCTTCCAGGTCTGCATCTGAGATGTGATCTATGTCAGTGACTACTAAAAGCATTTTATATTTGGAGATTGGACGTGTAACAAGAATTACGTATTGATTCTTTATTTTGTTATCCTTGTAGGTAGTCGAGCATACGGGCCACCAGATGGTGAAAGATTACTGTCGCTTATGGACGTCGCCAATGCCAGGGGCAGAGACAAGCCTCTGCATACCGCTTTTTTTACCTGGTGACGCTGATACCATGTCAGCGTCACCAGGCTAGTAAGTGAGCTCACGGGGCTCAAACCTGACATTGTTGCTAACACGGACCCTAGCAAGAGCCCTGCTTCGCAAAATCTACTACCGGATCGGAAACGCGACCCACTGAGAAGATCCAGAAACTGAGTGGGCTGTGTCTGTGGGTTAATTTACTCGCCGAGCCCTTCGTCGTAAGCGACGGGTTCGACGACCGGTGCTTGTGGATCGGGAGGATCCGAGATGACGTGTTTTGGGCGACGTCGACTATTTATCATTCGGTCCGCAGGATCGGGAATGTAGTTACCGGCGGCCACGATGAGAGGGTTCTCGTCTCGTGCCGCTTTATCGAAATGGAGCCTACCGCTGAGAACCTTTCGCAAGTTCTCGTTTGGTCGGAGATTTCGTGAAGAGCGAATGGTTTTATGATTTTTTAAATAATAAGTCGTTACGTAGGAAGTTGCCGTTTTCCAACACTGACAATTTGTAATATAATTTAAGCATAATATATGCCTGGCAACAAATTTTAAATTCATTTTAAATGAATTTGAAATTTATTTAAACAATATTGTTCACCCTGTTTTTTCCAACTCCTAAAACCGTCACTAGAGAGCGCTGTAATACGCAAATCCGTTGTCATGATACCCTTGTCATAAGTGACAGTATCCGTAGATTATTGATTTTTTATTGAATATACAAGTTTTTCTAATCCAAGTTTATTTTCATAATCATCCCTCGGAAAGTCGAACATGGTCCTTCGAGCCGGATAGAAAATAACTAATGATAAACAACAATTTTAAGTGCAAAAGAATGTTACAAACCGTAATTAACACAAAACTATTTCGTTGCTAAGTACTAGTGAATGTGAAGAATGGGCCCGGACAGTTATATTAAAAAACCGATATTCAAAATAAGATATTTAAGGCAAAGATTAATTTCAAAAGGTCACCTGCGTCTAGAATAACAAGGGAATATATCGAAACGAGATTGCAATTATTGGAACAACACTGGTTAGTTTGAAGAAAATCACCAGAATGTTATATTGGGATGCGAAAATAACGATTATAGCTATTAAACAAAAGGTACAATAACAAACGTTACATCGCGAACAGCATTCTGGCCAGGCTGGTGGGCCAAAGGGCTTTATCTTCAGNACTATTAGGTTAAAATGTTACGGTTTCATGGAGATGTTAATTGTACATGTAAAATTTGATGGCCTCATTGTTGGCTATGAACTTTTGTAGTTCATGGTGGGCGGAATGTTCACCCTGTTTTTTCCAACTCCTAAAACCGTCACTAGAGAGCGCTGTAATACGCAAATCCGTTGTCATGATACCCTTGTCATAAGTGACAGTATCCGTAGATTATTGATTTTTTATTGAATATACAAGTTTTTCTAATCCAAGTTTATTTTCATAATCATCCCTCGGAAAGTCGAACATTATATTTAATTATTATATTTTCAATTTCAGTCATTCATTTATTGATTAGTGTTTGGTTTTCACGATATTTGTATCATTTTTCATCAATATAAAATATAACACGATATAAATATGACTAATTAATTATATGGAATACAAGTTCCGTCGCGTTATGCTGCATATACCACACAGTCGGTTCACAACATTAATGATTTGTACTGAGTGAACATTACAAATAAACGCATTACTCGATTATTGGTCTGAACGCTTCCGACATGGATATTTTAATAAAAAAATTAAACCCCGAAATCGCCTGAAAACCTCTACTTTTTCTACAGTTTAGACAACTTCTTGACAGGGAAAAAAATTTAACACCATAGATGTGTACAAAATGCCTTTGAATAGTTTTTTTTTTATTGCTTTGATGGGTGGACGAGCTTACAGCCCACCTGGTGTTAAGTGGTTACTGGAGCCCATAGACATCTACAACGTAAATGCGCCACCCACCTTGAGATATAAGTTCTAAGGTCTCAAGTATAGTTACAACGGCTGCCCCACCCTTCAAACCGAAACGCATTACTGCTTCACGGCAGAAATAGGCAGGGTGGTGGTACCTACCCGCGCGGACTCACAACAGTTCCTACACCAGTAATAGTTTTTTGGCTCCCGCACACCTGAATTCTTTGAGAAGGACATTGAAAAACTACCACTGCACTGGCAGAGATGCATCGATACTGTGGGTGCATATTTTGATTTTAAGAAATGAAATTTTTAAAAATAATGACTCTAATTTCCGTATAGTAATCGGTAACTTCATAGGTAATTTTTATTCAATAATGAAATTTATTTATTTTTAAATTCGAGAATAATAATTACTATTTCTTCTATAATTTAGGTAAAGGTCAGCGACCGGACCAATCCATGGTGAAACAGAAGGTCTATTGTTGAAATATAAATGTAAGATAATAAATAACGCTAAGTTAAATGAAATACAAACGACGAATAATATAGTTTAAAAACGCTTTATTAACAAACCAAACTATTTGTTTTATTCTGGCCACATTAGGGCATAATAAGAAAATTATTGTATTGTCTTCGATACGTGGTAAACATGTTAATCGGCCATTTTGAATTTGATGAAAATTTACTTCACAGATTCCGTTACACAACTAGACATCAGAATCAGACAAATAAAAGCAAGTTAAAAATTAAATCAGACATTATTTTAACTGCTGTAGATCTGTTGGCGAGCTCATGGCTCATCTAATAAAAGTGGTTGCCGATGCCGCCACCCGTCTTGAAATATCTAGTCGGAATCTAAGCTATTATCTAATCTATATCTATCTAATAAAATCTAAGCTAATCTTAGCTGCTATCTCAGAAATCAGTATGACCGCTTGGGGTTGGAAATGGCGCAATTAAAAACTGTGAAGCGGTAAATTATGTTTGTTCCTTTAGTTTTGGATTTTTTGTTTTTCTGCGGTGCTCTGTTTGCTCTGTGACTTTTAAGAATTACTTTTTTTTTATTGCTTAGTGGGTGGACGAGCTCACAGCCCACCTGGTGTTAAGTGGTTACTGGAGCCCATGGCTCTTGTGAACCGGAAATTCGCAGACGGATTGGGATGGCAAAAGGTGCCATGTCTCAACTGGACAAAATATGGAAGGACAAAAATATCTCTATGAACACCAAGAGCAACCTAGTCCGCACACTAGTGTTTTCAATATTCATATACGGAGCAGAGACATGGACTATAAAGAAAGCTGACCGCAATCGGATTGATGCCTTCGAAATGTGGTGCTGGAGGAGGATGTTGGGTATTCCCTGGACCGCACGCCGCACCAATTTATCCATCCTAGCTCAGTTGAAGATCCGGACTAGACTCTCCACCATTTGCATGCGAAGGATTCTTGAATACTTTGGCCACATCGCAAGGAAAGACAGTGACAACTTAGAGAAATTGATGGTCACTGGAAAGGTCGAGGGCAAGCGACCAAGAGGCAGGAACCCGACCCGTTGGACGAACCAGATTCGTGCAGCCCTGGATACCACAGTGCACGATGCTCTGCACTCAGCTGCAGATAGGAACAGATGGCGGTGCACTATAAAAAACAATCTGTTTCAAGGCCATGACCACGACCCTCAGTAATGAGGAAACCGACGCAAGGAGGAGGAGCCCATGGACATCTACAACGTAAATACGCCACCCACGTTGAGATATAAGTTCTAAGATCTCAGTATAGTTACAACAGCTGCTCCACCCTTCAAACCGAAACGCATTACTGCTTCACGGCAGAGATAGGCAGGGCGGTGGTACCTACCCACCAGGAAAGGTCCTACCACCAGTAAACATTACATTTTTACATTACATTTTGTGGTCTGACGGCGATCGAGCATGCTCTTGCATTTATACCTCACGATCGCGCTCGGCTTCCGATATTCCTTCTTTATAATTATTGTAATCCATATGTGAGGCTCACTGACACCACCGCTCCCCAGCAGAAGTATTCAACATGTCTTAATTTGAATGACACCTACAGCTGCCTCAAAGTCGGCGGCAACGTCTGCATTATCATGTCAATGGACTCGATTAGTAATCGCATGACGCAGGGCCGTATGTATACTCCTTAAGCATTTAATCGTGTTCTAAGGTTATCAGGAATTGCGTGTTTTCAGCGTTTATCGTACAAGCAGCCCTTTCGATTTTAAATAGTTACCAAAGTTTATGGACAATGCGTGAATGACAATGTCCACTAATGTAATTCAGGTCAATATAATAATACCATTCTATTGAGAACATGATAATGCGGTGCCATCTCAGTATCTGCGATATCAGAATAGAATGTTTTGATAGAGATTTTCAGCTGAATCTACGTGATTTTAACGCGGTACCATTTATGGCTCGCGATAGCCGTGGCTCACATTCACGGCAGTAAAACGTTAAAGGAAAAATAAATAAATTTAGACGAAGGTCGTTTTGCGATGAGTCCAGGGTCAATGCGTAAGGTCCCGATAAAACACGCGTCTGCTGGTATTATAATAATAGAGTATATGAGTCGACTAGTATCAAAGCCGGCAATGTGACTTTTGGACAATTATTGGTAAATCAGAAAAACGAATTATTGTCTTTGTATTCCATTGGCAGCCACAAAACTCTTCTGAACGACATCTGAGATAAATAACAGGTTAAGTATTAACCTTTATTTAAAGCAGGTTTTGAACCGTATTCTTTGAAGGAGACGATTATATTCAAATCAATCTGTATTGACATATCAATAACATTTTCTTGTTCAAATGCACAGATTGCCACCTTTGATAATAGACGACTCATATATAAGAATAGAAATTCACCCTTGAGACAATTCATTATATGAGAACAAGAGAATTTTGAAACATTCGACACTTAAGAAATAATAGTAAGTTCCATTTCCGCCGCGGAGTCATGAGTTCTGGAATGAACAATTGGATAGCGGTTATATAGCAGAATAGAAAATTCCACTTTATGCCCTAAGGTGGTTTTTATTTCATTTTTTAGATGGGTGGACGAGCTCACAGCTCACCAGCCAGGTGTTAAGTGGATACCAGAGCCCATAGACATCTACAAAGTAAATGCGCCACCCACCTTGAGATATAAGTTCTAAGGTCTCAGAAACATTCACGAGTCGAGATATAAGTAATGGAAAAAATAAAACCAATAATATGTAGGTAGTCGACTTTTTTTATTGTGATTTTTTATATTTAAATAAATTAATTACAGTTACAACGAAATTAATCGAGACATATATTTCATTTTTTTGTGTATTTTAAGGAATATATTATAAAGAACGAGTACACGATCAAATCGATGGTAAGTGGTAACCGTCGTTCGTGGACGTTGACAATGTCAATGGCAAAACTAGGCCGCTGCGTTGGTTTTGCTTCGACCATACATACGTAGGGAAAATATTACACGCTTAGACTGACTAGAATTTTTTTTGATGCGTACATTTAATAATTCGATATAAAATTTAAGTTACATTAAAAATTTATACAAACTTAACAATTGATTACAGTCAAACTATAATTTAAAAAAAAAACTGGAAACGAAGAAGCACATTAAATATTATGTTTTTTGATAAATAAATAAATACATTAACAAAAAAAGACAACCGACAGAACAAAATTACAATATCATTAATATAGTCGAAATTCATTTTACAGGTATTTTACAGGTATATTAAGGTTCTTAATTTTTGAGGTTACCCTTGCTTGAAAGGTAACCTCAAAAACCACTGGTCAGATCTTGATGAAACTTAAACGGTACTCAAAATAAAAGAATAATCATCTAATCTAATTGGTTCACCTGAAAAAAATACTAAAGTGACAAGCATAGAAGAAAAAAACCAGTCGAATCGATTATCTACTGTATTTTTTAAAGTCAGTTAAAAATGTACCCTTTTCACAGCCGAAGTAAAAATTACTAATTATGCCTGTGCTCTTTTACTGGACAGCAGAACGAAGTGTAAGCGTTCTTGTTTTGTCAACGGTCCTTTGTATGTACGGAATCTCATTACGTGGTTAGTACTGTGGGCACGGGTCGGTACCGCAGTCCCACATGGCTCTGCCGCTTCGCAATCGTACGTTCCGGCTCGGGGATTGAGACAGCCGCTGTACTGTACTGTGAGACATCGACCTCATCTCTTGAGGCCACAGGTTGTAACGTCTACGGTACATAACAACTGTCGTTTGTCCGTTTGGACAATAAACAAATAAAACGCATTCGAAGTCAACATTAATCTCTTGTTCTCTCCGCAACTTCCTCCGAGTCCTTTACAATATTATCCTTCGAGCGGCGACTCGTCATCCGATGAATCTGAGACGACCCCCTGTAACCTCTGCGTGTTCGTTTGACTCAGCCTGCGCGAAGATAAATATTCAAGATGAATCAGCTAACGTTCTCCTGTGCTATGTTTACTGGAGGCACAAATATGCCCATGTTTTTTGTTTTTTTTTCCTACCTATGCTGATAGCCTTGAGAGGCTATTTCAGCTTCACCCTAACGTGTTTAGGTCAGGTCTCGGGGCTCAAACCGGAGTGTTGCTAACACTGACCCTAGCAAGAGAGTACTTCGCAGAATCTACCAGCAGATCGGAAACGCGACTCACTGAGAAGATCCGGCGAGAAACTCAGTGGGCTGTGTCTATGGGTTAATTCGCTTGTCGAGCCCTTAGTCGCAAGCGACGGGTTCGACGAGGACGGTGACCAGTGCTTGTGGTGCCTAAAAGCACCGTTAATGGATCGGGAGGATCCGTAAAGACGTGATCTGCCAATTAGAACCGAAGGACCCGTTCCTACTAACCCATAGACACAGCCCACTGAGTTTCTCGCCGGATCTTCTCAGTGGTTCGCGTTTCCGATCCGGTGGCAGATTCTGCGAAGCACTGCTCTTGCTAGGGCTAGAGTTCGCAAATTCAGGTTGAGCCCGTGAGCTCACCATCATCATCGCAACCAATTCCTCAGAGCACTCCTTCCTTAGAGACACAAGGTTGAAGTTTTATAATCGTAGAACCGTTGTCCTTTGAGACTGAAATATATTTAGTTGTCATAAATAAATTAAGAAGCATTCACGGCATGTGCCCATGGCCTCCAGAAACATAGCACTACAAGAACCCTGCAAGAGAATACACAATGAGTAGTTCACTGCGAGAGCCGAAACCCACCTGACTTCCTCAACATCAGCCACTTTATCAATGAGGTTCCTTATGATATTCTCTTTGTGCTCGAGAGCCAGCGAGGCTCGCTCGAGCTCCCTCCGGTGCTCCGCGTGAGCGTGAGCAGCCCTGCGCTCCTGTGACAACAGGCGTCTCTCCAGCTCGTCCAGTGATGAGTACGCGCGTGCCTTCACGAGCTGGTTTCGAAAGGAAACCGGTCTTATAACCACATTCGTCTTGACGGCCCACGGTACACCTGGTGTTCAGTAGTTCCAGAGTCCAGAGACATCAACAACATTGAAGCCGCCAACCAGCTTAAAACTAAAAGTCTATGTGTCGTAATGGTACAAATTTTGTGCAGGTTTGTGGAAACCGTGGAAGTCACTCGTGAGCACGAATTAAGTACGTATTTATATATTTACTATGTTTAAGGACCTAAGAACCGCAGGTGGGTTAGAGAGTTTCAATAGTATTCCCCCATCGCGATCGGTCTCGGGCTGCGTGCGTTACTTCGGGCCAGGTTAGCCAGATTGTTTTGAAGACCGCTGCCATAGTGCGCCGTCAGATCATGTTGCCCTGAGGGGTCCACTCCAGGGCGTGGCTCGGAATGTGTGTGGACGCTCTGCTGAGAGCATGATCTGTCCATGTCCAGTTGCGAGTTAAAAGGCATTGCCCAACATATATACGATGGAGACGGTCATTAGTTTGGTAGCTGAACGAAACGCAGCACGATTCCCGAGAGATGGCAGCACGATCGCGGTGTCGTCGGAACTCGGCTAACTTCGTGCTACGACAGAGCCTAGCCGATGGAGGCGCGTAGACGCCATCGCACTTACCAACCAGCCTTCATGAAGAGCGGCGCCTCCGTCCTGAGAACTGTCATTCGTTTTCGTTTGCTAACGTTAAGATAATATTTCTAAATTGTTTTTATGACAACAAACGTGATTGGTGCACTCAATATTTCTCTTAGCTCGATCACCCTCTTCGCCCCTACGATATCTGACGATGGTGTTTTTTTTTATTGTTTAGATGTGTGGACGACCTCACAGCCCCCCTGGTGTTAAGTGGTTACTGGAGCCCGTAGACATCTACAACGTAAATGCGCCACACACCTTGAGATATAAGTTCTAAGGTCTCAGTATAGTTACAACGGCTGCCCCGCCCTTCAAACCGAAACGCATTACTGCTTCACGGCAGATATAGGCGGGGTGGTGGTACCTTACCCATGCGGCCTCACAATTGTGACTTCTCCGACATATATGTATTACAGTTACCTTTATTTCTTGTTTGATCTTATCTAAGGCCATCAGAGCTCGCTTCAGGGGCTCGTTGTTGGTTCGTGAGCGCCGCGCGCTGTTGCGAGCTTTCGAGAAACGAGCTGTGGTAGCTTTTAAGCGCTGACGAAATATAACGGCCGCTTTCCTGTATAACCTAAAATCATTTAAGACTTTTACGAGCTTCGAAGTGCACACCGGTCGCAAGTAACAAAGAAAGTGCGCCAAGTCAAAAAGCTCATCCACAGTGCGTTTCCAGAGGTCTTTTTTGCCACGTACCATCCGGCTTTGGAATGGGCTCCCCTCCACGGTGTTTCCCGACCGCTATGACATGTCCTTCTTCAAACGAGGATTGTGGAGAGTACTTAACGGTAGGCAGCGGGTTGGCTCCGCCCCTGACTTTACTGAAGTTTATAGGGCGACAGTAACCACTCACCATCAGGTGGGCTTGTCTGCCTACAAGGGCAATAAAAAAAAACAAGTCTCAGTGCACTTTTCGAACCGAAGCGCATTACTGCTTCACGGCAGAAATGGGTAAGGCAATACCCATATCGACTCAAAAGACCTACCACCAGAAAGATTGCAAGGGAATTCACAAACAACAATAAATGTTTAGTGTCCCTTTGTCATTGCGACAAAGGTCTCTCTATATAGGTATATCTTATCTATATATATAAAAATGAATTGCTGTTCGTTAGTCTCGCTAAAACTCGAGAACGACTGGACCGATTTGGCTAATTTTGGTCTTGAATTATTTGTAGAAGTCCAGAGAAGGTTTAAAAGGTAGATAAATATCAAAATTCCTTTTGTTTGTTTTAAGTTTATTTTATACAAAAGTTTAGGTCTTTTATTTATCGATTGAGGCCCTACGAAGTCTGCCGGGTCAGCTAGTGCCATATAAATACCTGACGTTCTTCAAAGCGACCTCCAGCTCTTGTTTAGTTCTCTGGTACTGCTCGTTAAGCTTGTTAAATTTGTCGTCGACTGCGGCGACGCGCTCCTGCATCTTGGCGAGCTGGTCGTTCTTGCGTTCCGTCTCCATGTTGTATTGGTGTTTTAATTCTTCGAGCAATCTGTGTTGGGAGCTTCGTGGTCGACAAACAAATATAACAAGGCTCTTTGTTTACGCGTAACTGGAATAGCCCCTTAGGTTTTTTTTCCTCTGCCTCTTAGCTGGTAGCCTAAGAGGCTATTCCAGCTACGCCCGGACGGGTATGTAAGAGAACATTTGCTAACACTAGCCCTAGCAAGGGCGGAATCGTGACCCACTGAGAAGATCCGGCGAGAAACTCAGTGGTCAGTCGTAAGGCTACCAGCGAATAGATAGGGGAAAAAAGGCGGAGTGTTAAGTCAATGTTTTCTTACTACATGGCGCTGCGTAGGCGTGGCGCTCACTCTAGGTCTTTTGAGTTTAATATGGTAAACATTGTGATTGTACAAGAAAATAATCTTAGTCGCTTTACCAAAAATAGAAGTTCTCAATTCGACTATTATGGGGTTAACTCATAGCTTTTTCTCGATGAACCAATTTTGATGGTTTTTTTTTGCTTTTATGAGCTCTGTGTTTAGGTTTGTTTGTTTGTACCAGAAATTATATATATTTTTTATATATTTCTTTTTTTTGCCAGGGGCCAATCAGTCGTTACAGCACCTATATTGAGACGTCGACCTCATGCTTCAAACAGGCTTCAAATAATCTAATTTTTATCACAGCAAGTTTCCTTCTTCCAGAAAATTCTAGAGACAGGGTATAAAATACTTTATCAAAGGCTCCTCTTTGTGCTTAGTGGGCGTTTTTAACGTTCTCGATAGCGTAAAAGTTAACACAAATTTGTATGGAGTTGGAACGTTCGCCTACGTTTGCCGCTAGGGGCGCTGTTCCAACTGCATACATACGTTAACTTTCACGCTATCGAGAACGTTAAACGTTACTAAGCACGGCGTGAAGACTGACCGCTTGCAGTGCTCGAGGCGGCGCTCGTGCAGGTCGGCGGGGACGGTGCGGGCGCGGAGGGCGTCGAGCTGCGCCATCTTGCCCTCGGAAGCTTCCAGAGCGTTCTTGACGGCGAAGTACTCGCGGTGTACCGTTTCGTAATCGCGCATCATCGCCGTTACTGACAACAACAATTGAATATACAATTTCGAAAAGGGCACATGTCGCATATTTTGTCAAATACGTTTTTTTCATATACATGTAGTTTTGAGGCTTACCTACCTTACCCATTTTATAATCATCATCATCATCAGCCTTTATCTGCCCACTGCTGGACATAGGCCTTTCCCAATGCCTTCCACATAATGCGGTCCTCCGCCTTCCGCATCCAACGACTTCCCGCCGTGCGCACTAAGTCGTCAGTCCACCTGGTTGGAGGACTGACGACTTAGTGATATTTTATAATAATTCCAGTAATTTTCAAATGCTAATTAACACTAAAATATATCTCAAAAGTTAATATATTAAATTTTACACTGCTTTAGAAAATAATCAGTTTTTTTCATTTCCTGAACATTTTACATTTTCAGAGATGTGCCCTTTTCGAAATTGCATATTCAATTATTGACTTTGTTACTACGCTAGATGAGCGCACACGCTCCGCTCGGTTGGTCTATAGCCCGTGGACATCACAACGTGAATGCCCTCAACTACTTTTGTACACACCAAGAAACTACGTAAAAGAATTGGATAAAAGAATGGAATTCTCTTCAATAATTTCAATATCTTTATATTTACTGGTGGTAGGACCTCTTGTGAGTCCGCGCGGGTAGGTACCACCACCCCGCCTATTTCTGCCGTGAAGCAGTAATGCGTTTCGGTTTGAAGAGTGGGGCAGCCGTTACCACTTAACACCGGTGGGCTGTGAGCTCGTCCATCCATCTCAGCAAATATATATACATATATATATATAAGTCGGTGTATGTATATTTCCCTATATACTTCGAAACAGCTTGACCGATTGGGATCAAATTTTCAGGACATCTTCAGATTGAACTGTTGCCACTAAAGAATTGCCACAAAAAATTGCCACTAAAGAATATTTGTAAATTTTTTTTTAAACATTCCCAAGGCACTCACTTTTGTTCTCGTAAAGTTCGAAGACCTCCTTCAGTTTAGTCTCCGCCCGCTCGGCGCGTTCCAGCAGCGTCGCCTTCTCGATGTCGGCCGTCTCTTTCTCGACGTGCACCTTTTTGTATTTCTGTCTCGTTTCGGCCAGCTCTATCTCTACAGCCTTCACCCTCTCGCTCAGACCCTTGTTCTCGTCAACGATCAGTTTCGACTTCTTGTTCATGCTCTCGAACTGCTTCTCGTAATCGACAATCAAATTGTCCTTCTCTTGTAAATTATCTTGGTAGGCGTCGAATAGCGGTGCTACAGGGAAAACGTATTCATTGGGCTGGCAACACTTTAATATCAGCGTTGGAGTTGGCAACGTTGTTAAATGGCAAGACCAGATATATTCGAATGGACTGTACACAAAATCGCTCATATATGAGTCGTCTATTATCAAAGGTGGCAATCTGTGCATTTGGACAAAAAAAAAATATTGATATGTCAATACAGATTGATTTGAATATAATCGTCTCCTTCAAAGAAAACGGTTCAAAACCTGCATTAAATAAAGGTTAATACTTAACCTGTTATTTATCTAAGATGTCGTTCAGAAGAGTTTTGTGACTGCCAATGGAATACAAAGTCAATAATTCGTTTTTCTGATTTACCAATAATTGTCCAAAAGTCACATTGCAGCTTTGATAATAGTCGACTCATATGTTTGAACTATAATTATAGATCATTTATTTAAAGATATCCCATTCAAGGAGAAAAATATTATATAAAGACGCAGTAATCACTAATAGCAAATATAGTTTAAATTGAAAAATTGGAAACATGAATTTCCGACCCTATGTCCCTAGTGTTATGAACTATTATTTTAATTACTAGACGTCTGCTTGTTCTTAAGCGCTACAATACGGTACCCTGGGTTGTCTGGTGTTCAGCTGGCGCCGTAATGTAGGCACGGGTCGTCCGGCAATGGAAGTCCAGAGAAGGTTTAAAAGGTAAATAAATATGAAAATGCTCGGAATTTAATAAAAATAACAATTTTGTTTTTCCTTTGATGTGTGCCCCATCGGACGGATTCCTTTTGTTTGTTTTAAGTTTATTTTATACAAAAGTTTAGGTCTTTTATTTATCGATTGAGGCACTACGAAGTCTGCCGGGTCAGCTAGTCTACAATGTAAAAGCAGCCACCCACCTTGAGATATGAGTTGTAAGGTCAGATCACCCGTAATGCACATATCGTATTTATAAGTTCCCGTATGCAACCCTTACCCAGTGCTTGTGCGCTCAGCAGACCAGACAGGTCGGTGACACGACCGGCGCTGTGCTGCTCCTCGAAGACGATCTTCTGTGGATGTCCATCTTCATTAGCTGCACCTGGGGACAGCAGGGTTTCCGAATGTTTTATTAATAATTCGGTCGGTGCGATTAAAATTTCACGCGAGCATAACCTGTGTTGCGATCTTGAACGATGACGTCATTGTACAAGTTGTAATTTTGTTTTTGACATATTAGTTTTAGTAGATCTATGTTCGTATTGATCGTTACATGAAAAAGATTACTGCACTTTTTAACGGGAACACGTGGAGTGAAGTTGTGTGATTTGTTTTATTTTTGTGTGTTTCTTCAGGTTTAAAAGTGTAATAACGGTGATTTGTTAGCTGTTTAATTTCTGTGAAAGTGCACAAATGTGGGAAAATGAAACAAAGCTGCTGCACGTAACTTCTTGGGATCCTCCAAAAAGTCCAGTGAAAAAATCTCTGTGAATGACCAACCAACATTTTACTGAGAATATTTCATCTTATATCATCTCAATTTATTTAATTTCATCCCAATTGATTATTGTCTCAAATTAATCATCTTCATTTAATTTCATTTCACTCCATATTATCATTTTTCATAGAAATAAGAATATAAATTAAAATAAGACATGACTTAAAGGTCTTAGTTACCAGGTCATAAAATCCCTTAGTAAATTACACGAAAAAAAGGTTACGGCAATTCGTAGAGGTCAGCATTTGCAAAAATCGACTTGGAACATCGTAACATAAGGACCAATTTCGCTTGTATTTTAAATTCTTGTGTTGATTTATTTCGTTACGGCTATCCACCTCTCCCTGTACTTGGGTACTGTTATAATATTCGATTGCAGCATGGTCAATACAAAGTAAACTGCTGACCTAGCCTCAGTTGTTTACTTCGATTCTAGGTAATGACGCAAATCGAAAGTTTCGTCAGCATTTTCGGTTACCACGGCAGAGCAGATCGGTTTGAAACCTCGTTGTGGACACTCATCTAAAACGTGTACTTTCATATAATAAATTTACATTTTTCACTTTCTGCAAAAAGTGTTTTTTTAAAAAGTCTCCATCATCCCACCCCGTAACAACGTTCAGTCGTTCAAACGAGCCATTGTTTTTTAAATATTGACTTACAGCTGATATCATACATTTTTGTACGTCTTACATTGCGTGTAATGCAAACAAATATTATAAGGGCGGGTATATTACGGCTCGATTTCGACAACGGATCGAAAGCATCCTTTAGTAAAGCCAAACATGAACCGGAGCCGTTGTGATGGATGCTGTGCCTCTTAAGCCGAGATGAACAGTGATCATACATCCATCATTCTACCTACCGGTTCCTTTATAACCTAGACTGGTGGTTATCAAAGAATCAAAGGCGTTATATTTCTCAGACGGTTTGTAGGCACATTCTGTTTTGCTGTCGGTACGCGAGTTACGCAGTCTCTCTTGGTAACTCGCCAGTTGAACGTTGAGCCTGAAATCAAAGAAATAATACAAATTTTACGGTGAACTTAATCCCTAAGCGGATCAATTCCCAATTAAATATAAATTAATCTTAAGCAATCAATCAAATGTAATCAAATCTTAGTTATATAATTTTAATTTATTATTTATTTGTTAATGCACTGTTGATTGCACCTATAATTGAGGTGACATCTGCCATAAACTTTTGTCAATGTGTCAATGTGTCAATGTTTTGTATTGATGATCACTTTGTTGGTGCAACTTAATAAATAAATAAATAAATAAACTCTAGAAGTGACAAGATGCCCACATTCAGTCTATTTCTGCCGGAATTCCATTTTAAATCTCATTAGTGGGACAGCCAAGACAGACACAAATACAATTAAGACTTCGACCTCATGTCTCAAGGTCCACCTCATGTTTCATTGTCGACCTCATAGTCCCGATTCCGTCCTCCTTTATAGAATAATTAAACAATTTCAAGTTGATACTATATCCCATGTGTACCAAAACATGAGCGCGGCTGTTCATATCTCAATCGCATGAGTACGTCAGCTGAATTATCGATTACACGTTTATTTCCCAGCAATAGACTTCACAAAGCGCGGAAGGCTTTAGAGGAAGAGGTAGACCTATGAAAAAATAGATGGATTGCGTAAAAGAAGATATGTGTAAGAGGGGAGTGAGTGAAGAAATGGTATAAGTTAGAGGAGTATGGAAGGAGAAAACATCTTGCACCGACCCCAGGTGACTGGGAGAAGGGCAGGAGAATGATGATGATGTTGAGACTTCACAAATCGAATGCCGCTACACACCTTGAGACCATGAGGTCTATATCTCAATTGTATGTTATAACGGCGGTCCTAACCTCAAAAACAGCAAAGCACGTCTGCATCGTGGACGGTAAAGCAGGAAGTCTCCTCACACCAGATGATGTCCACTAGCATTTTTTTTTATTACTCACAAGGGCGGACGAGCTCACAGCCCATCTGGTGTTAAGTGGTTACTGGAGCCCATAGACATCTACAACGTAAATGCGCCACCCACCTTGAGATATAAGTTCTAAGGTCTCAGTATAGTTACAACGGCTGCCCCACCCTTCAAACCGAAACGCATTACTGCTACACGGCAGAAATAGGCAGGCCGGTGGTACCTACCCAGCGGATTCACAAGAGGTCCCACCACTAGTAAAGTTGCATCTAGCACTATACATCATCAGGCCTTTGATGGTAGTAAGTGACAGTGATATACAAAAAAAATAATGACATAATACTTTATTTTCAAAAGCGAGTTAAAATGATACAATATATAATTGGAGTCTCTTTTTAAGCATGCAAGCCAGTACTAGCAGACTCTGCTCTTCCATAAAAGCAAGTTATATGCTTTATATACTACAATATTATAAGTTATATACTATAAGTTATTACTAATTATATATAACAAGTGTGTGTACCTAGGCGGCACTGAAAATTTCGGGAATTAACGAAGTGACACAACATTTTACTATTTAAAAATGTATTTATTGCTTTTCGAAGTATTCTCCGCGAAATTTGACACATTTTTCCATACGATGGAACCAATCATTGAAGCAACCATTCCATTCGGAAGTTGGGGTCTCCAAAATGGCCGTTTTGTAGGCGTCCACAGCTTCTTCAGGTGATGAAAATCTCTGTCTACGCAATTTATTCTTTATTTTAGGGAAAGTATAGAAATCATTAGGGCTTAGGTCGGGGCTGTACGGCGGATGGTCTAATAATTCTATGTTTTCTTGCTCTAAAAACTCTTTTGTTCTGTGCNGGAAGGTCATTTTGGACCACACGCGGTTGATGCAGTGAGGCGTAGCGTTGCATTCTCGGCCAGTGCTTTGTACGTAAACATATTTATATAGGACACAGTTTCAACAGATATATTTACGACTAACACACTCTTTACGCCAGTTTCATGAGCTTTTGAACAAATATACATAATGCTGTGGTGGTACCAAGCCAAATTGACTTATATACTTACTAGTACAGTCTAATTGGACATAGATGTTCAGTGTTCCGTTAGGATGTTTAGTTTGCTTTATACATAAGTCAGTTCAAAACGGAGATGGAAGGATTTACGTAAGCTATAACTTAACTAACTATAACTCTTCTTCTTTTTCTCCACCTTATCCCACTAAGAGGGGTCGGCACAGCTAATTTTTCTCTTCCATTCTCTTCTATCAGCCGTCATCTCAACACTCACTCCTCTCTCTCACATCGTCATTCACACACTCCATCCATGTCTTCTTCGGTCGACCTCTTCCCCCTTACCTTGCACTACCATTTCCATACATCTCCTAGTCACATGCATCTTCTCTCTACGCATCACATGTCCATACCACGCTAACCGTCCGCTCCTTAATTTGTTGCTTACCGGGGCCACTTTCACACTTCCTCTGATATACTCATTCTTTATCTTGTCCATTCTTGTCACTCCACACATCCATCTCAACATTCGCATCTCTGCCGCATGCACTNCATCCATGTCTTCTTCGGTCGACCTCTTCCCCCTCTACCTTGCACTACCATTTCCATACATCTCCTAGTCACATGCATCTTCTCTCTACGCATCACATGTCCATACCACGCTAACCGTCCGCTCCTTAATTTGTTGCTTACCGGGGCCACTTTCACACTTCCTCTGATATACTCATTCTTTATCTTGTCCATTCTTGTCGCTCCACACATCCATCTCAACATTCGCATTTCTGCCGCATGCACTCCTCTTTCATGCTTTACTTTCGTCGCCCAACACTCAAATCCATACAGCACGACAGGTCTAATGATCGTTTTGTAAATTTTTCCCTTGAGCTGAAGGGGCATTCTACAATCGCATGCTGTTGCAGAGACCTGTCGCCATTTCATCCAACCAGCGTTTATTCGATTAATGACGTCCCGGTCTATGTTGCCGTCGTTCTGGAGTATAGAGCCGAGGTACTTGAAGTCGGAGCAGACTGGCAGGGATACACCATCTAAGCCGTTTGGCGTGAAGTCTGAAGAACCACCAAAATCACAAAACATGTGCTCGGTTTTTGTTCGACTGCTCTTCAAACCCACGTTTTCCAACCTTTCTTTCCATTTTGCCAGTCTCCTCTGTATCTCAGGCCCTTCCTCTCCAACGAGAACAATGTCGTCAGCGAACAGCATACACCAAGGCGCCTCTTCCTGTATGTCCGATGTTAGGGCATCCATTATTAGGATGAACAGGTAAGGGCTTAAAGCTGATCCCTGGCGTAAGCCTACCGCCACACTGAACTCGTCGGTATCGCCAGCTGCGGAGCGTACGTACGTACTTGCTCTACCGTACATAGCTCGAACAAGCCTTTGGTATTTCCCTGGCACTCCTTTCACTTTCATGCTCCACCACAAAACCTCACGGGGAACCTATAACTAACTATAACTAATATAACTATAACTCTATAAATATAACTCTATACTCTACTACTATACTCTCCTATACTATACTCTAACGTAAATATAACGTCTATACGAACTATATATTTAGAAGAGAAAAAAAAAACAAGTATTCACCATAACTATTGACTGAAAACTAAACCAATAAATTGCAATTTATTTTAGCGAAAACGAGCAGTCATAGCAGTGGTAGTAATATGTAGATAAAGTACATCTGAATGTTTTTATCACGTAGAAGGCAATACGTTCGTGACCTAAAGGTGAAGTGCGTGCCTGGCATTTTCGTGATTGTTTTTTTTAGCTGAGCTGAGCAAACGAACTCGCGGTCTATCTGAAGTCCAATCCTTCCGTGATGCCCCTAGATACTGAGCAAGTGTTAAGTTTCAGCTAAGTTTCAATGGCATTTGTGACAAGACCAGTCCAGCGTTTCCAACACGACCCTATGTGATTTAAATTTAATTGTACTAGCTGTTACTCGCAGCTTCACCCGCATGGTCAAGGTGAAGAGTCAATGTAGTTTCCCGTAGGAATAATGTTTTCTCGAGATAAAAGGTAGCTTCTGTCACTGTCTTGTCTTAAAACTATCACTTAACAATCACGTCAAGAATTCAAGCTAATCTTATGTTAAGTTTTAATTATATCTACGACTCGCGAAAATCAAAGATAATACAGTTTCGCGTCACAATGTCGATGGTGCATATCTACATTTAATAGATAAACCTCATCGCATTAAGAAAACAGTCTTCGATAAACAGAAGCCTTGGGGGTCATCCGTAAATTAAGTCACACGTTGGGGGGGGGGGGTCGGTTTCAACGAAATCTTACACCTTTAAACGAGCAATTCTTGTATATTAATATATATATAATCTGAATCTCGGAAACGGCACTAACGATTTTCATAAAATTTAGTATACAGGGGATTTCGAGGGCGATAAATCGANAAGAAAACAGTCTTCGATAAACAGAAGCCTTGGGGGTCATCCGTAAATTAAGTCACACGTTGGGGGGGGGGGGTCGGTTTCAACGAAATCTTACACCTTTAAACGAGCAATTCTTGTATATTAATATATATATAATCTGAATCTCGGAAACGGCACTAACGATTTTCATAAAATTTAGTATACAGGGGATTTCGAGGGCGATAAATCGATCTAGCTTCGATTTATTTTCAGAAAATTTTGTTTTATTCTTGTTTTCAATAATCAACTCTTTCCGACATCTATTGGCGAATAATAATACTATTTTTCATAATTGAGGGCAACTAACCGCTTTAAAGACACAACAAGATGGCGTTATCAAAAAAAACCCAGCAAAGCTCGGTCATCATCTTGTGTGTCATAGTGTGACAAGGGGCATGGGGGTCAATAGTTTTGTGAAGTCACATGTTAAAATTTAAAATATTAAAACGCGAAATTTAGATATAAATAAAAAACTTTAAAAATCCACGAAGTTGAACTATAGTCATTAATAATTTAGCATTCTCGCTATGAGTTTATCTCTCATGCAACTTCATTTAACTTACCTACTAGCATAAATTGAAATTATGTGTGACGTCACATCAGAAGGGGTTATAAAAATGTGACAACCTGTGACAAGGACGGGGGGAGGGGTTCAAAAGTCTTAAAATTCGTGTGACGTAATTTATGGATGGCGGCCCCTTGTCTTGCCAATGTCCATACCGAGATCTGTCATCGACGACTTTGAAAAGCACTTATTACGGAATACGTTCACGACAGATTTTTTTTTTCTTTTTTTATTGCCCTTGTAGGCAGACGAGCATACGGCCCACCTGATGGTGAGTGGTTACCGTCGCCCATGGACTTCAGCAATGCCAAATATCATCAATTTACAGCCTCGGGTCAACTCCATGGGTTTACTACACGCTTATTTATCCACGTTAGTTAATAGAGATCACAATAATGTACTTTGGACCCATTTGTCATCTCTCTACTAGATTTATTTTTCATTTTTCTAATAATGCATTACAAACAACAACATAAAATATACCTTACCGAAATTGCAATAAAACATTTAAGAGCAATGACAATCGAACGTGAATTTCGTTCATTGTTGGCGTTTTAAAATTTTAAACTGTTTTACTTAGAAAACAAACAGCATTGTAACCGGAACTTATTGAACGACTGAAAGGCGAACGTAATCATTGTTTTGTAATCGTTTCAAAGCGAGAACCGATGTTTGGGAATAGACAGGTCAATGTACTCATAGTATATAATATAACGTATATAACTCATAGTACATAATATAACAACTACTGAGCAATAATACTGGCAGTTTCGGAAGCAAATAATATGTAAACCAAATAAAAACATATCATCAAAAAAAATTAATTGACATAACGTACATCCTTAATCTGTTATTTCTTATCAGTACAGTTTTAGCACTGATAAGAAAAGTGAGATTGTTTAATTAATGGAAAACATTATGACGACTTCGGCAGGGGTTTAGGCAATGGTTGTGTATTGCTCTGTTTGTATAATTGCATTTTATCTGTGGGTCATCTTTTATAACTAGCTCGTCAGATCTAATCCCTATATAGACATTTTGTTACAATTCCCGTACGTTTTAACTGACATGATGGCACAGTACCGTCCCTGACTGCTGGACCGAGGGTCGTGGCATCAATTCCCAAAATCGGGAAAACGCTCATGTGACAAACAACTTTGTTTACTCTTTCTTTGTATGTTCAGTATCTATATATGTACACATACATATGTATTTATGTAACATATATAAGTATGCATATCAGTCTCATTGTTTATATTTATTATTATTAATTACTGATTGTAGCGTGTGTAAAGTCGACACCGTTATTCTTAAGTGTGAATCATAATATGATATGAACATATTATGTTCTTATTTCAAAGTTAAAATACTATTTAATCTTTGAGACTTCAACTTTAAGTTAATGTAACTTCTTGGGGTCCGACAACAGTTTAATATCAGGTGTCGGTGCTTTTAGGCTCTTCAACCACTGGTCACCGTGGTTATACAACCAACTGAGCTTCGCACCGGATCATCTTATTGGGTTGCGATTTCAATCCGGTGGTAGGTTCCGCTCTTGCTAAGGCCAGTGTTAGCAAACTCTCTCAGGTTGAGACCGTGAGCTCACCTACCGGTCCGCGAGTAGTTGGAATAGCCCCTTGGGTTACCATCGATTAGGCAGGGGGGGGGGGGGATCAAATGTAAGGTTAGCTAATGTTCTTCATGATAAACGGACGCAAACCCTACACGGCGCACTTCAATAACCATTCTCAGTCTAACTACAGAATATATAAATTATATTCTGCAAGAAAATGTAACATCTTTTTCACTTTTGCATATATGTGCATATTTTAGTTTTTGTTTTTTTATTGCTTAGATGGGTGGACGAGCTCACAGCCCACCTGGTGTTAAGTGGTTACTGAAGCCCATAGACATTTACAACGTAAGTGCGCCACCCACCTTGAGATATAAGCTCTAAGGTCTCAGTATAGTTACAACAGCTACCCCACCCTTCAAACCGAAACGCACTACTGCTTCACGGCAGAAATAAGCGGGGTGGTGGTACCTACCCGTGGGGACTCACAAGAGGTCCTACCACTAGTAAATTTCACATTTCGCATATAACGGTCTTCAAATACAAGAAGCGATACAACAATTGTTGTATTTCAAAAAGAATTTCTTCGAAACTATTCATTTCCTGTTCCATAATTTCTCACTAACGACCGGTCATTATTAAAGTGATAATATTAATGTGTTTTTACTCTTTAAATAATTAGTTGCGTTCGTTACGAACTATTTACTATTTGCTTTAGTTTAACTCAATACGTTTTAAATATTATTTATTATATTTATTATATTTATTATATATATATTTATTATTTTGCTTTGTCATTTTAAGCGGCAGTACCCGAGAAAGAAATATCTCTTCACACGAATTTGTTTTTTGTTGAACCTGAAATACGCTGTTGGTTTATAATTCAATGTTATTATTTTTATTATTATATTATATTGAGTTTTGTAAACCGTTTTATTTATTATTCTTCTTAGTCAAAATACGTAAGCCTTACCTAAAATTACTGCACCAATACGAAGGACCCCAAGTACAACGGGATTTTCCAAGGAGCTGATCTGTAAAATATTCGGATGCTTATAAAAAAAATAATGTTAACTTAACATGGATATGTATTGAAAATTTATGTTCTGCAATGTTATTATATTTTTTTGGTTCGTTACACCTGAACAAACATTATTTGTATTGACATGTACACGAAACATTTGTTTTACGTAGTTTTAATGTTTTCATATTCACTTCGATATTTTATATGAACAGTCACCAAATTCTATTATGGGCGTGAACTTGTTAATGGAATCTCATATTGAATTTTATTAAATTACTTTATTAAATGTTATTATTTTATTAAGTAATTAAGTATGATTTAAAAACTACTTTAAATGACTGACGATCGTCAGTGATTAAGAAAACTGTAAAGTAATCGAAACGTCGTAAAAAAAAGTATGTATGTATGATGTAAAAGTATAATAGTTTTAATTAGGTATGTAATGTACTACTCGCGAAAATTCTAGAAAATTCTATATTTTATTAGTGACATATTTAAAGTCATAACGAATCTTACCTTTATGCTTGACAGGCAGGTTGGTGGTTTTCTTCTGCGGAAATAAGGTTTAAGTCAAATTTACATATTTTTCAAAATGAAAAAGAGTTTAAAAAAAAAGTTTGTTAACAAAAAAAAAAATCGAAAATCGAATAACAAAACTCACGTTCAACGAAATAATATTGTCCAATTTCATGTTGTTACACATGCCGACGATTTTGCACATTGTCTCGGCCGATGTGTTCGATTTGAGAACGTGATGTATGTAATTTTCGAAATGGGCCGTGTTGTCTTTGCATATCTTCGCGATCGCAGGATACTGGATATCGTGGCACGCCGATTCGATGCTCGCAGCCAGATATTCCTATATTGAAAGTGAAATATTTGTTTCTGCAAATTATTCAAACTTCAAATGGATCTCGAAGTCGAATTGTCCGAAAAGACAGGTTGCACTCTCGATAAAAGGATTTGTCGAAGCTGTCGAGGGTCTTTGGTCCGGAAGTCTTACTCCTCGCTGTACGGAAAACAATAGACCTATTCATCCCCAACAGTATGCAAATAAGCACCTCTATGTTTATAGCCGTTGTTAAGCAGATTAATCCAAGACCTACCTAAAAAAAAGATCCTACAGACTTTCAAAGTTGGAAACATGAGACTTATTTTTTACTATATACCTAAATATACTGGTTAACTAAAACTCTCATCATAATATTAAAGAATCGTCAGGTAAGCAAGGTATATACTGGTAGGAAGGCGTCTTGCGACCTCGCCCGGTATTATCACCACCTAGGAATTTCCACCACGAAGCAGTAATGCGTTCCGGTTTGAAGGGTAGGGTAACTGCTGTATTATAGAAATGAGACTTAGAACTTGTGTCTCAAGGTAGGTGGGGTACATTGATGAGTTTCGGTAACGACTCAACACCATGTAGACCATGAACTCGTTCTGGCCTCTAAGCACTAAAAAATAATAATAAAAACAAAGTTTTTGAATGTTTTAATCTTTAAGAGCAACATTAATCGGTTTGAAGCAAAATTTATCACTAACAAACCTATTAGGTATTAGCACAGAAATGTGTCGATAAAACAATGTTGTACGTATGACAGACTGTTCGATTTAATCATAATATCATTATCAAATCTGTGTAAGCCTTATCAATAACACTATCGATAACACCCAAATTAAAGAGCAACTAAACAAAAAAAAAAACTTTTTGACGTGTTAGTACACCATGGAACTCGTAAGGTTCCTAACTATTGACGACATCAGTGTCAGAACTACTTTTTTTTTTCCTACCGAAGCTGATAGCCTTGAGAGGCTATTTCAGCGTAACCTAAACTAGTAGGTGAGCTCACGGGGCTCAAACCTGACGACGTTGCTAACACGAACCCCAGCAAGAGTCGTGCTTCGCAGAATCTACCACCGGATCGGAAGCGCGACTTACTGAGAAGATCCTGCGAGAAACTCAGTGGGTCAAAACAACGATTAGTGTCCAGCCTTATATAATAACACTGTAACACTGTAACCTCAGAAATTGTACGTTTTTGTTCGCGTTATATTTGAATTTGTAGTCATTAATAAATATATTCCATAGATATAATATCTATGTTCAATACATAATACAATCGTGCTAATGTCCTAATCGCTTGATGCCACAAATTTCATAGATTTGAGAATCAGCTCGTACTAGAAAAAAAAATTCAAACGCACAGAATTTTGCAGTTACATTTGATTAAAGCTACATACTTCCTTTCCATAAGACAGTAGAAGAAGCCACCAACGATTTTCTAATAAATAAATAACTGGGAATAAATAAAACACGGTTATCTGGCCCCAAAATAGGTGTCCCTGTGTTATGGGTACCAGAGACTGACATATTATTATGAACATACTTATATATGTTTAAATAATTACATATATGGATAATAAACAGCCAGATAAAGAGCAAACAAACCTGTTCATCACACGAATGCTTGCGGGAATCGAACCTACGACCCTTGGCGCAATAGTCAGGGCCGTTAACTACCCGGTCAGTCACAGCTTATTCGTGAGTTATTACCATAACTCATCGACATCAGAACTACCCTGCTTTTCATTTCAAATTCCGTGAATGAAGTTCTCATTATTTACTACGTCTTTAAACTTACCTCATTAATAAGGTCTTTAACATCTTTGAGTCCTCGGAATAGTTTCACGAATTTCGATGATATTTCATTGTCAGAAACATCCGGCTTTTGTTTCTCCCACACAGTCGCCGTACAGTGTCCAACCGCGCCGCATTCAGCCCCCCGCCTATCAACAATGACTCAAAACGTTTATTATGTACACAGCCCAACAAAATTGTTTCTGAATCACCGTTATTGAATCATTATTTACTTAAGTAAATTTTATTGTTAGAGGCGATACGTTTTCTGTAACAGTCCTGCGTATGCAAGAATACATATTTTTGTATAGGTATTGATCTAAATTTAACATCGTTAATGTTGATATAATGCCAAACATGACGGAGAAAATAACATTATTATATGTTCACGTCACAGTAATTTGAAAATATATATTTTTTTATATATGCCTATATTATTACTATTGTGTATTAAAATGGCAATATACATAATTAAACAACTTTTATGTTTGCAAATAATTTAGTTAACATTTGAGTATAGCATAGTTAATTAAATAACACGTAAATAATATATCACGAATACAAATGCTGTTTTTCCACTTACTTTAGACTCTCGCACCATACTTGTGGTCCCTTAGCACATTCCTTCGGTACTTGTCGCGCAAACGACAAATCTGCGAAACAGATTGCTATTTAGAAACATGTTTGCATTAAACCGCTAGACAATTTTTCACTGGTCGGAGTGCGCGTTGCAAGTCCTAACGGGTATGTATCACCACCCTGCCTATTTCCCACCCCCCAAGAAGTCATGCGTTCTTGTTTTAGGGGCTATTACTAATTGAGAATTAGATGTCATGTCTTAATGTGTTGTGGCAGTCACGTTTTGTCTATGGTCTTCGGAAACCACTTAACACCAAGTACGCAGGGGGCGCATTCGTTCCTGTACGCCTTAAAAAATTGCCAAGACCCACGTACCTACTTGTTCTTTATATGATCGTTTATTGTAGTGTTGTCTTACACTAATCTTGTACATAGACAAAGAAAGTGACGAATAAAAATATCTCATTATTTGTTGACTTTGTGCCAATTCAATTTTTGTATACAATTTTTAGACTAGTATTTTAACAACAAACATTCGTATAAGAGGCATCTATATTAGTTTATTTTCATTTTAAGTTCAAATGAAGATCGGACCAATGCGAGAAAAAGCAGACAATCTTGTAGCATTATGATACAGAATTTCAAAACAGTGAACCAGCCATCTTATTGTCACTCATTATGCATGTTATTGGATATTGTCATGTTATGATATTACTTATTTTTTATTTTTTTACTGTACTTATGTTTTTGTGTACTTTCTTGTACATGAAAAACCAGAATTATAAGAAAATCTAAAATTTACCAGAGCAAAAGAGAAAGGCTGCTTGTTTGTAATTAACTTATCGACATAATATTAATTGTTTCTACCTAATTTCCTATTTTTCCGATTCTATACAGGGACACAACAACTCTGTTACTTGAATTTTAGTGAAAGAACATTTTTATTTATTAAATAAACATTCGAAGGAAGGAAGGTTGTTCCTGTGCAATTTAGACTTCAATTTTATGCCTCTAACTGGGCAGCAACATTGATGTTATTTTGCCTGCGACATCACCAAGGTTTCAAAACACTTGTCCTGTCAAATTTAATGATTCTCTAATGTTATTTGTTCTCATTATCTTATCATATTTCTCTCTGGGCCTGTGTGTTCTGATTAATAAGCAACTGACATCAACAGGAAGTTCTTAATTCAGACCACATTTTTAATTATTTTCCTTTAGGACTGTTCCAGATATATTTTTATGGCGATTATTATTTTAATATCTTCATTTTTTCACAACATATAATTAACAATTCAAAGATTTAATGACATATGCAAGGACAATTATTGTTTCATTTGTCTTACACAAACAGGAAATATGATAGCTTTTAGTAGGTTAGGAATGATTCATTTGCCACCACTATTTATATTATTACATTTTTTTTGTTCTAATTATTAGTAATAGGCAGAAGTGGCAAGAGATAGATTTTTAGTTTAGTTGCACATTTTTTTGCTGTCTTTATCATATTTTCTATTTTTATTGTGTAGATGAATTAATGCAGTCATGGTTATCATGGGTGTCAAGTGATTGTCAATTTATAGTGGCCAAACATCTTGAGACATGAGGTCAAAGTTATTTGTATAGTATATAGTATAACTTCAAATCAGTACACATGACTGCTTCTTCTACTGTCTACATGTATAGATTTACAATACACTCTACCACTAGTGTATGCTAGCTGGTGATCCCAGTATGGCAGTGTCATAATTACAGAATGCTGAATGACACCATGGTACCCGTAATTACCTTTTATGACAACTATGGGAAGGAGATAGGGAACCAGAGAAAAGGATAGTAACATTAAAATTTTAGATGTTTTATGTATCGATCTGAGACTGTGAGGGAAATAGTTCTCAGTTATGAAAGGTGTTAGTGAAGAAGAAAACCATTTTGATAAAAATTGTTTTTCTTAGCACGGACTATGTTAAAAGCTATATGATGCAACCTAGGGTAGCAGATTATGTATGATACTACACTAGCCTACATGTGTTTATTCTCTAAGTGCTGAATAATAGCTAAAATGGATTTTTACTGTCTTGGAACTTCCATTAGAAATTTAAGGCTATGAAACATATCCAATTTAAAAAATCGCAATGAATAAACAACAATAAACAACAATGACGATTCTTCATTTAAAGTTCCTTTAAAATAATGCTGTCAGAGTTTAATGTAATTTGAAATATTTTAAAGTAGACCAAAACATGGACCTTTTTTGTTAGGAGCTTGTGATCTGGTCATAGCCCATTACTTGTTTATTTCCTCATTACATTATTGTTTAAATTATATTATGGTGCCCACTTTACCAGCACATAGGCATTGGAAATTGTATTATTCAAGAGAAATTATCAATGTATTCCTTTTGACGCTTTTAAGGCAGTTTGAAGAACAGTTTACTTCTAACTAAAATCAGAAAGTGAGAGTAACGTATTTTTTGCATTAAAATTTAATGATGTAAGTAATAGGAAATCGAAAAAACGGTTTCCTAATTTTATTGCAAGTATTTTTACGTATTTTACTTAATTTGGATTAAGCACGACAAGGTCAGCCTTAATTACCAAGTTTTGAAGTAGAATGATTGAAGCATGAGACAGAAAATATTAAAAACTTACTTGTACAACAAAGGAACGTTAGAGACAGTAGACAAACAGCAAACGTGTTTGTCATCGTTGCGAATGTAATTTAAGTTCAACACTCCAGCTTTGATTTTGGCTCTCCAAATACTAAAATTTAAATAACTTTGTTCTAATTTTATTGCGTATCGATTGATATCAAAATGTTAAGTCACCGCTGTCAGTCACTAAATTCACAATACTGAATTTTGCTGCGAGCAAAGCAGCAAGTGGCATAAAAACAAATACAAGCAAAAAATAAATCAAAGCTGTCAAAGTCAACATTGCGTGACATAAAATGTCAATGTCACATATGTCAATGTGATGTTGATCTGCTAGCATAATTAAAACGTTTAATGGTTTTTTAATTAGGTTTGCAATGTACTATTCTATCAAAACTGTTACTAAAACTGTAATAAACTATATATATAATCTATTAATGGTTTCTATTAAAATTGTTTTTGGAAATAGATAATTATTCATTACAAAGAAAATAGTATTTGTTTGCACAGTTTTGAAATTATTCTATTCATCCATAGATGGCGGTTGTTAATCAATTTACTACTCGTTATGTATGTATTCATCCATAGATGGCGATTGTTAATCAATTTACTACTCACCAATAGATGGCACAGTATTCTGTGTTACTCAAGGTACCAACCAGATTAACAAAAAATAGCGAAATTAGTTTCAATTAATGTTTCTATAATATTTTACCATTAAACATGCCAATGAAAGTGTCATACAATGAAAAAAAATCTTTGGCAATGAAAGCAAAAAGCATGCACTGGAAGGCTACAAATCCTGTAGGTATGTCTGTCTACTCGGAGTCCGATAACGCTCTAAATCGAGCATTGAGCCGATAGGTAGGTAATTTTTTAAATAATTTTCAGAATGTACCTAACATTGTATTCTCACAAGACTTCCTAAACGCAGAAACAAAATTGTGATAAAAAAACTACAAGATTACATAGGTACCTAGTTCTAGTATGAAGGTGTACATGTTGCCAATTATGAACGAATGATTTATTTTGGAAGCAAGAGCAATAGGTAGTGCAAACTTTTGTAAAATGTCATTGGGCTAAGGTTTAGGTTCGTCTGCCTACAACAGCAGTAAATAAATAAAAACATCCATAAAGTAGTCATTGTAGAATCAACCTATATTTTTTTGCATAATGTGCATTGTAAGTAATGTAGATAACATCTTATAGAAAATAAGAGCAGTAAATACGCGGCCGCCTTTATAAAATAACTAGCGGCCCGCTCCGGCTCCGCTCTGGTCAACAAAAAATTTCAATGATATTTGACGATGTTTTTTTTTTTTAAAACACTTAATGCGACATAACTATAACACTTAGACTTATGCTGTCGTGACAATTTTTGTAAATAATAATGTGTTCTACAAAGACGTAGTACATTATTTTATTTTATCATCAATAGTTTTCGCAGGGCACGCGATGTAAAGAATATTTTAGATAATTTTTTTACACCTTGGGTTACATTATTGGAGTTTTAGTAAGGATCCCTATTTTTTTTCAAAAAAGATTATAGCCTATGTCACTCGGGAATAGTGTAACTTACAAACAATGAAAGAATTTTCCAAATCGGTTCAGTAGAATCGGAGCCTATTCAATACAAACAAACAAACAAATATTTCTTCTTTATAATATTAGTATAGATAAAACAAAAGAGCAGGTACTGAGGTAGGTACTTTTAATACAACAATAAAGAAACTTCTAGAATAAAATTCACGAGGAAATAGAAAAGCATATTCATTTCCCAGGTTGATTTTTCTGAGACACAATTAGAAGGTTTTCCTGCGGGATTGGAGTCGGGTCGAGTAATAAAATTAAGAAGACGCCCCGGTCGGACGGTCGCGGTAAGTCGATGTCTTCCGTGGGCATAAAACAAATCCGCCCGGAGCCGGCCCGTGAGGACTGCCGCACACAGCCAACTATGGAGACTTGTTTGCAAAACAATAATATTATAGCTTATTCATTGCATCAAACATAGTGTTACAATTGCATTGTAACACTATACTTGAGACCTTAGAACTTATATCTCAAGGTGGGTCGCGAATTTACGTTATGGATGTCTATGGGCTCCCGTAACTACTTAACACCAGGTGGGCTGTGAGCTCGTCCATCAAAAAAAAAAAAACATTCGCAGCGCTACCAGTATCGAAACTTGATAAGTACCAGTATCCAAGTTGAAACGTTCATTTTAAATCTATCTTCATTTTAAATCTAGACAATTAAAATTCACAAAATTAAAAATAGAGTATGCTTTATTATACTCATTGTACATCAATATAAAATAAATACAAATATATAACATTAAAGACAAAAGTATAATGGGCACTTTTATCATTAAGAGCGAATCATCTAACGAAAGAAATTAAGAAATTAATTTTCCGTTGAAATGTATCTAATAGGTACATACTGTACATATAAAATGATCTAATGTTACACTGTTGTACTGGCACACACACATGTTGAATCCCTTGATTTAGCAATATTGGTGTTTTAAATTTTACTAGTGCTGGTAGGGCGTATTGAAAGCACGTAGTTGATACTACAATACTGACTATTTCTTCTGCCTTAATGCGTTTAGGTTTAAAGGATGGATATAATTACGACATCGACCTCGTTACAAGATGGGTGGCAGAATTCACGTTGTGATGTCTATGACACCCGGTAAACACTTTACACCGAGTGGTTCATAAGATCGTTCACCCATCTAAGCATAAAGTTAAATTATAAGAGTATCATAAGCCGAATCTTTGGTTGATCATCATCATCATCAGCCTATAGCAGTCCACTGCTGGACATAGGCCTCTCCAATTGCTCGCCACTGAGCACCATCCTCGGCTTCTCACATCCCGTTCCTGCCAGCCACCCTGCACAGATCATCCCTCCACCGAGCCTGAGGGCGTCCTGCACTGCGTTTTCCAATTTTGGGTTACCGATACTAAAACATTTGCTGCTACGTATTAATAAAACGCATATTATACAAAGCATATTATTCTCCTACCTATGCCGAAAGTTCGGTTTTCCTCCCGCTGTACAGGGAAGAAAGTGTAACTTGTCCTCCCTGGGTACTGACAAGTGCGCATGCGCGTTAGTGTCTACGTCTGCTCTCACGCACCTAAAATTCTCCGCCATTGTTGTGTTCGGGTAATTTGCAATATTGTGTTTACTGTAAAAGTGAAATAAACAAAAGGCAATAACGTTTAATAGTGAACTATTAAACAAAGATGAGTTCATCAGACAGTTCTTATTCAATTAGTAGTAGTTTATTTAAAAATTCAAAAACCGTTAAATTGTTTTTTANGTGTCTACGTCTGCTCTCACGCACCTAAAATTCTCCGCCATTGTTGTGTTCGGGTAATTTGCAATATTGTGTTTACTGTAAAAGTGAAATAAACAAAAGGCAATAACGTTTAATAGTGAACTATTAAACAAAGATGAGTTCATCAGACAGTTCTTATTCAATTAGTAGTAGTTTATTTAAAAATTCAAAAACCGTTAAATTGTTTTTTTATGAGTATGGAGGGCTCCACCCCCCTCCTAGCCCCCCGCCTGGGCTTCGCCCTTGGACCCCGGGTCGGTACTCCACGAACTTTCGGCCTGGTAGGTGAAAAAATAGTATTTGCACCGCGGGAAAAAGTAGGACATCTCATGGAAATGTCGTCGTAAGACGTCCGCTGCATTCGTGTTGAGCGATGCACCGGTGTTTGAATCCCAGGCGGGTACCAATAATTCTAATGAAATACGTACTCAACAAATGTTCACGATTGACTTCCACGGAAGGAATAACATCGTGTCATAAAAATCAAACCCGCAAAATGATAATTTGCGTCCTTATTGGTGGTAGAGCCTCTTGTGAGTCCGCGCGGGCAGGTACCACCACTCTGCCTGTTCCTGCCGTGAAGCAGTAATGCGTTTCGATTTGAAGGGTGAGGCATCCGCTGTAACTATACTTGCCACCTTAGAACTTATATCGCGCATTTACGTCGTAAATGTCTACGGACTCCAGTAACCACTTAACACCAGGTGGACTGTGAGCTCATCCACCCATTTAAGCAATAAAAAGAAAAAAACCTATTTAATTTAAAAAAATCTGTGCAACCAATAGCAACTCCACATATTTGCTCACGTGCGCGATGTTCACATATTCTGAATAACACTTCAATACCGCGGCTCCGTAACGCACTGGACAGTGTCTCCTCGTGCACACGTGACACGACTACATACGTGCTCATGTGTGTGCCTTTTACTCGACTGCTGTTCTCGAGAACAACCTGTAATTGGTATATCAAAGACATTACGATATTTTATGAGCACTTTTGTGATTTCGTTTGTATTCGAACTCATAATACCTACTGTTATATTTTGAAGCTTTCGCTCCATCATTTGTACTGCGTGATTATGTTGCTGTGGATTATTTGGAACCACAATGTCTGAAGACAAAGGTCTATAATGAGTGCGTCCTACCCGTGCTTACCTACGGAGCCGAAACGTGGACATTGACTGTGCGACTAGTCCACCAACTAAAAGTTACTCAGCGAGCTATGGAGCGAGCTATGCTTGGTTTGTCATTGCGAGACCGAATGCGCAATGAGGTCATTCGGGCAAAAACCAAAGTGATCGATATAGCTCGCAGAGTTAGCTGAAGTGGCAGTGGGCTGGTCACATATGTCGCAGAACCGATAACCGTTGCGGTAGACGTGTTCTGGAGTGGAGACTGCGAACCGGCAAACGTAGTGTAGGACGTCCTCCTGCTAGATGGAGCGACGACCTGCGCAAGGCAGCTGGCAGTAACTGGATGCGTAGAACCGAAGATCGGGTTCAGTGGCGAGCTTTGGGGGAGGCCTATGTCCAGCAGCGGATTGCCGCAGGCTAATGATGATGATTTGGAAATCAAGTATCGAGGTGGGGGCGACATTTACGTTGTTAGTTTCCGTTGTCTCCGGTAACCACTGAACACCGGTAGGGTCGTGAGCTCATCCACCTATCTAAGCAATAAGAAAATTTTATTGGTGGTGTGCTGTAGATATTCTGTTTTATCAATGTAGTTGTGTTCGAAATCGTGCTGGTGCCTACATTAAAGTTCGTTGATACAACAGCACGAATGAAGCCAAAAATTTCGTTCCAATTACACTGTTATACAGCTGCTGTGTCCTTGAAAGAAATAAGTGAGATGACAATTTTCAAGTCAGGA